TATTCAGATGATTCGGAGGATCCAGCAGATTCAGCGGATACATATGATTTGGATGATTCAGGGTGATTCCAAGGTCTGGAGGCGTGAAGCGGGACACAATTCAGATGATATGAACGATGCAATATGCTTTCAGGCATGGCTCGGCGAACTAACTGACTTGGTTGAATTTGGTGGCTGTGTAAAGAACGAATCTGCTTAACTGACTGAAGCGCGTGTGGAAACAGCTAGAAGCAGAGTAGTTTCCTGGAAGTATAAATGCAATAAAGACTGCATCAGTTCTCGTTCAGGGTACACCTACAAACCTGCTAGACTCTTTCTCCCTTGGCCTCCCTCAGAATCGTAGCGTTAAAAGGTATGCCTGCCTACTTCCACATGCCGCTTCCCCACTGACAAGGTAACAGGTATACAGTATCTCTCCCAAGAATCGAAACCAGCCACCCATCCCCGCAACACTAAGGCATCGAACACATCCTTCTAACTGGAAGCACTGGCTTTGTGAGCTCCCACCTGCTCCGTGAGCTATGCCATCGCCCCGAAGTCCAGAGAATTACCTGCCTCGATCGCGCAAACCCAGCAAGACAGCAGCCACAACCTACAGAACCGCACCACATACCTATCAAGATCCAACATCTGACTGCCGACCTATCAGCGCAGAACCTCGGACTGGAGGGGCAGACCTACACCGCGCTGACCGACTCCGTAACCACAGTCCTGCACTGCCAGTGGCCCGTCGACTTCCACCAGCCCCTCTCATTCTTCGAACCCCAAATCCAGGAAATCGTCGCATTGACGAACTTCGCCGTCGAGTCTACACACCGTCTGCGCATTATCTTTCTATCCTCTATTTGCACAGGAGCGAACTTGGACGAAGACCGCGCTGTTCCTGAAACTTTCCTCTGTTCGTCAAAACATGCGCAGGCAGGATACGGAGAGAGCAAGCTGATAGCCAGCCTACACCTGCATAGAGCAGGGGAACTCGCCGGCGTGCGAGGATTGGGATTGACTTCTACAAGTCGCTTCAAGGCCGTCCCCTGGATTTGGAGACCTGGCAGACTAAAGATGTGATTCCGCGACCTGGGAGCTTACCCCCCATGAATTAGGAGTGGATGCGAGCATGGCTCGAGCAGTGGGCTTCTCAGCAATACAACCTTAATCAATTTAAGAGCAACCAGACCGCACGCTCAATAAAACTCAGAACTCACAATCTCCATCCTATTCAATACAGTTTCGGTGGCTACTTTTCGCGATTGGGGGTGAAATTCCAGGCTCGCGAACCCACATTTAATTTGCCGCAATTGTTTTTTAGCCTTTTGTGAAGCAGGCACTCGCAGTTGTACCTGAAGCTCAACACCAGTCCTTTGACCTTCCAGGTATAGTCGGCTCGGAAGATTCTACCGAGCAGGATGTAGAACACCCTCTCTAGCATAATCAAGCAAAGATCGACTACAGAATAGTACTATCTCATCCTAGCATTTGTACAGTACAGCACAATATCCCGTACTATTGCTTTGGTTTGTGCCCATAATTCGGCGTCGCAAAGTTGATCCCTCCTCCCTTCCATCGAGAAATGGTAATCAATATGGTAGTGCGGGGCGGCACCCAGCCCTGAGTACCTACGCCACTTACGCCCCTGAATGCAGAGCGTGGCTGCCCGCATCACTTTTTCCTGGAACAGCCAATCCGGCTCTTCCATTTCTGAGGAACTGATCGATCGAACAAATAGGGCGTCTAATCCAGCCATGGATGAGCTCCACCCATGCTAAAAATAACCGCCCTGTAGACCAACAGCCCCGCCACATCACGTGCCCGCCTTATCGGCTATCGATAAATAACTTATCCCCTGGCTTTGAGAGACAACATCACAACAACACTACACATACACATCGAATACCTCCACCCTCCATCAGACAACACCCCAAACCCCTCACCACACCAACCCTCCAAACCCCACCAAAAATGCCCCCGCACAACGGCCTCGTCCACCCGAAACAATACGACCTCAAAGACAGCAACGTCGAACTGATCAACAGCGCCCTCGACCACCAAGTGAAACACAACTCCGCCACCACCGAACCCGCCTGGCGCGCCGTCGGCACCACCCCCGGGCTGTATATCTGGCGCATCGAGCAATTCGAAGTGATCCCGTGGCCGCGGGACCGGTACGGCGAGTTCTACGACGGGGACAGCTACATCGTGCTGCACAGTGCCAAGCCCCCACAGTCCCAGAGCCAGCAACCGGATACCGAAGGGGAAACCCCACTGGTGCATGACATCTTCTTCTGGTTGGGCAGCCACACCTCGCAGGACGAGGCCGGCACCGCCGCGTACAAGACCGTCGAGCTGGATGAGTACCTGCACGGGGCGGCGACGCAGCACCGCGAGGTGCAGGCGCATCCTTCTAGCGAGTTTGTGAGTCTGTTTCCGCGGGTTTCCATCAGGAAGGGCGGGGTGCGGTCTGGGTTCCGGCATGTGGATGGTTCTGAGGAGAAGGAAGAGGAGGGGATGACGCTGTTGCGCGTGTTTAAGCATGCCGGGGCGGCGCGGCCGGGGGCTTTGATTGTGCATGAGGTCGAGCCGACGTGGCGGAGCTTGGATGATAGGGATGTCTTTGTGTTGGATGTGGGGGACAAGATCTGGGTGTGGCAGGGTCGGGCCTGTAGTCCCATGGAGAAGGGGAAGGCGGCGCAGGTGGTGCATGATCTGACGCAGGCGAAGCATGTCGAGGTCGAGGTGCTGTCGCAGCTGGAGGCGCGGAGTAAGGTCGTCGTCGATATGCTGGGCGGGCGCGAGGTCGAGCAGCTCTCGTTTAGTGCGCCGCGGCCGATTTCGGAGAAGAGGAAGCGGGCTGCGGTTGATGATGAGGAGGGTGAAGGTCAAAGGGCTGGTGGCTCGCAGCAGCGCAAACTGTTCAAGCTGAGTGATGCGGATGGCTCGCTGACGTTTGATCTCGTCAAGGAGGGCAGTCACATCGGCAAGGCGGATCTGGATGGCAAGGACATCTTCCTGTTTGATGATGGGGATCGGCTGTGGGTGTGGCAGGGGCTGGAGGCGAGTGCTGCGGAGCGGGCGCTGTGGTTGCGCGTGGCGCAGTCGTATCTGCGCTGGCTGCAGGAGAGTCCGGAGGGTGCGGAGGCTCATTTGATTCCTATTTCCAAGGTCGTGCAGGGCCATGAGAGTCCGGCGTTTATGCGGGCGATTGCTGCGGCGGCTTAGGGCTGTTGGTGGGAGAATAGACTGTATATGCTGTATATTTAACAACACACATCTCGGGTTGTATAGAGCAGGCTCATAACTCAGGCAGGGTCGAACATGTAAATCTTCTACTACTTGTATCAGCATTGCAAGGATATTAAAAGCATATCTTTCTCCGGGGAATTCCTTCTGGTGTAAAGTCAAAGTTTTGATAAATCGAAACAAACAGAGCATCATCGAGCTTGGGACCTCATCCTGTCGAACACAAACTCACGAAGGCAAAGAAAGTGATATGCTCCTATAGAACCTCTCAACAAGCCCCAAAGCCACCCCAAGCGACTGAACACCAGGGACAGTGAGTACCCGTACTGATACTGATACCCCAGCAGCCAGCGGCAGCGGATCAACCGCAGGAGACTAGCGTCACTGACCACAAGCTCCAGGACGGATAGACTCACATACGCGCTAGAGAGACTTGTGATTACTCGATTGACTTTCCCTATATTGGTGTGGAAGATACTTGGATGTAATCTCAGACATTGTGGGATTTAGTTGCGATGCGCGGTTTGGTGGGGGTTGTGCGGGTGGTGGGTTTGTTTATTGGGAAGATGGGTGAGGAACATGTCTTGCCGACAGTCCTCTACTGTGCCCCGGGGAGTTGACCTCCACCTTGGGTGATTTACTCCTTGCTGACTTTAAGTGCTGGCGCGTATGAGCTAATGACTTGGTGCTTGTGGGATCACTTCATAGCTGGGTCATTGGATACAAACAGTGCTGGTTCTGGGGAGGAGTGTCGCTCTGTACAGGCTTATTGTATGTAGTACATGCTAGGACAGGGCCGGGAGTTATATGCTATGTTTGTGGTGTTGCTGTCAAGGTGAGTCTCGATTGGCAACCATTCATGTAACCACTTAGATGTATGATCCCGGCGAGATTGATATATACTCTGTTTGCTATTGTTTGCTCTATTTGAGTGTATCGAATGAGATGCGACTGTTGTTGGTTAGTTGCGGTAAGTGCGTCCGATGATCTCGGCGATCCGACGCTAAAAAAGGCAATCGAGCCCTATGGAGCTGCGGAGGATCCAGGAATTATGCGATTTCCTTCTGTCATAACTACACCAACACTCCAAACACAGCATTCATTCAATCGGACACCTTCGGTCAGAAGTCCTTACAAGCACCAACAAGCTTCATCCAACGCGACCGTCATTCCATTGATCCGCGACCCCTCACTTAGGGCTAAGGCAGGCCGAAGCTAAGGATCGGCCCTCCGCATGACTCGTCCTAGACGGGGATACGGGACTGGCTGCGCCTGCGCTATGTGATGTGCCTACCGACTCTACCTTTCTTGATGCATGTAATCAATAATCACCAATAGATTGACAGGGGTATATCATCGAGATGATACCGAACCACCCCCATCATTCCAACATTCCAGGACCTCCTACGGAGCACATTCCGTTGCCTTCGGCTAGAGTTGCTCCCATAACTCTTTCTACAGTCCAGTCCATACTAGCGCCACTGACTCGGTGCAGACTGCACACCTAGTCAGCTGAACCAGCGAAATCAGCCACAGGGCGCCGCGCGGTGGGTTCGCTCGTATCGGCGGGCGAAAGAAGCAAAATAATGGAGATCTTGACGGTGGCTGCCTGAGGGCTGGACCTGAGTGGCAAGTCCGCAATTGAGAGATCGGCAAGACCTGCCAAGTTGACATAGCCAGCTCGCTGGCTGGGGATATAAGTCTGCATTTCCCTGCTGCTCGCTACTGCTGAACCCAACCCAACCTAACCCAACCAGCAAACCACCATGCGCATCCCATGGTCCCTGCTCACAGCAGCAACGCTGCTCACGCCCAGCGCGTTGGGCACCCGCACCGGCCCCAGCAGTAAATCCAAGAACAGCACGCAATACAGCGTCCAAGAGCTCTGGACCCTGGAAAAGACCTTCTGGGACAACTTCCTCTACCCGGCCAACCTGGCGCAGACGAAAGCCATCAACTCGACCCTCTTCGCCCCCGACGTACGCTGCCCCATGCCCCCTTACCCCAAATCACCCCATCCCCAACCCCCCCACTAATGGAATCGATAGATCCAAGGCCGCGTCGACATAACCCGAGTCTTCAACGGCTCGACCCTAAACACCGAATACCTGTTCGGCCTCTTCAGCGACCCGACCCATTTAAGTCTCGTCGGCGTCCCCGTCTCCTACAGCATCACGCAATTCACCGCGGCCCCAAACACAAACCTCGCCTCCGCAACCACAGTGGTAACATTCAACGCGACCTCCTTCGGCAACCTGCTCCTCCCGGTCACAATCGACACATGGATCATGTGGAACGCCGCGGGGCAGATCGAGCAGTACGACGCCACGTTCCGATGGTTCGGGTTCCTGGTGGACACGCTCGTCGGGGCGCTGGCGCAGCAGATCAACGGCACGGCGACCGAAGCCACAGCGTACCTGACGCAGCTCCTGGCGAACCAGATCTGCGAGACGCATGACAGTTACTGCACGGGCGCGAATCAGCAGTATGCTGACAAGGCAACATGCTATGCGTTTTTGACGCAGAGCATCCCCCTGGGGAAGGATTACGAGCTCGGGAGGAATACCCTGCTGTGTCGCGAGGTGCACGAGCATATGGTGCAGTATGATCCCACCGTTCACTGTCCGCATATTGGGCCCACGGGGGGAGAGTATTGTGTCAATGACCAGACATACTCGCAAAAGGTGCTGCAGAAGTATTTCCGGAAGTCGTGGTTGATCCCCGAGGTGGGCGGGGAGGGGCAGGATGTTTGGTTGTAGATTTTTACACCTAGTATAATCAGCAGGGGGAGCAATGGGTACTAGGAGAAAATGAAAACACGCCTTGAGTCACAATTACTGCACTGCAGTATGGTACTATATACAAATCATCCTCCCAAAACCCCCAATTCAGTTGTCAAAACCCAACCCGGCCTCTTTCCGGATGGCCCCATAAACTGCCGCAATATCCCCCTTCTCGCCCTTCTCCCTCTTGACCTCCTGCAAATACCCATCCGTCACCTCCACACTGCGCAACCGCATCCCCGCCGCCGCCGCCAGACTCCCCGCATGCCGCAGATCCTTTCTGGCCAGATCCACCGCGAACAGCGGCTCCTCGCGCTTGAAGTAATCCCCGCTGCACATCCGATCCGCGTACGCCGCGAACGGGCCGGGGAACATCCGATGGATGAACTCCTGGTACACTCCCGCCCCGAGACCGGATTTCTCGGCCGCCACCAGCCCCTCCGCTAGACTTTCGACCGTATTCAAAATGAAGGTGTTGCCCAGAACCTTGAGGGTGGTGGCCCGCCCCACGTCTGATCCGGGCATCGGGACCACCGCTTTAGCGACCACGCCTTCAAGAAAAGGGGAGATGCGGTCGATGGCCTCCTGCGGCCCCGCGGGGACGACGACCAGCTGCCCCGCGTCGGCGGCGGCGGGGGCCCCGAAGACCGGGCACGCCAGGAAGCTGGCGCCCTTTTCGGTTAGGGTGGCGGCGATGCGCCGGGAGGTGTCCGGGTGAACGGTGGAGCAGTCAACTAGGATTTTGGAGGTCAGGTCCAGGTCTTCGGTCGTGGTGAGGGTGGTGATGATCGCGTCGAGGGCCGGGTCGTCGCCGACGCAGATGAAGATGATGGTCGCGGAGGAGACGGCGGCGGGGAGGGTGGGCGCGACGGTGGCGCGGTCGGCGGGGAGCGTGGCGGCGAAGGACTCCGTGCGCGAGGTGGTGCGGTTGTAGAGGGTGATTGGGGCGGTTTGCGGGCCTTTGGTTGCGATGTTGCGGGACATGCCCTTTGTTTTTGGTGTTAGCTGGGGTGGTTGGGATGAGGGGCAGAGAACTTACGCGGCCGATGTTGCCCAGGCCGATCCAGGCGATGCGTTCGTTTGCCATTTTGATTATAGTATCAATGTGAAAGATAGTACGTAAGAATGCGTGGATGCGGATGCAATGCAGATAGATGCAATGCAGAGGAACTGTTGTTGATGAGGGGCAGGAAGTGGGATGAAGCGGGCATTATAAATTGCGGGGAAGATCCGGCAACCGGGCATCCTCGGATGCCAGTTTTGGGTGTTCTGGTCGATCTGCCCGGCTTGCGGGTCTCCGAGAGACTAAACTCTTAGCCGACCTCACTCCGATTCTCCCCTTGTCCCCGTCTGCTCACCCGTACAATACGTACAGTAAGTAGTACATGTCAACGTCCACTCCACGAGGACAATCACTGTAGCTCGGTCTTCGCGCTCAAGTGCAACCGAGTGATACCGTAGGATCAAATCCCCTGACAGACACCGAGAATGAGTCATAATCTAGTAGATTGGAAGACAACAAGCAACTCACAATAATCCCGCCTGCATTTAACACCAACCCAGCACCAAGAACATTCTTCCAAACCAGCCAACCGTCCATCAAACCCATAAACAACCACCAAAACCATCACCCCCAAATCATGCCTCCCTCCTCAACCCAATCATCTCCAAAACCCGCTCATGCGCAACCACCCTCCCATCCTTCCTCAACAACTTCACCGCCACCGCCTCCGCCCGCCCACGCATCTTGTCTGCTGCCTCACCCTCCAGCACCTGCAGCATCACCTTCTCCAACTGCTCCCCGGTAACCCTCCCGGTAGCCCTAACCGCCACCCCCACCCCCAGATCCTCCACCCGTTGCGCATATTCATAGTCCGCGAGGTAGACCGGGAGCACGATCTGCGGGATCCCCGCCCTGTCACGCACACCCACGTGCATCAGCATTACAGCTTCCCTATAAGTAAGAGTAAGCAATCAAAGGGGGAACATACCTAACCCCCTCCCCAAACACCCCGGCCTCCCCACGATGCACCACCCACCCCACATTCCCACTCACTAGCATCGCAAGCGTCTCCGCCGGCAGCCGCGGGTAGATCCGTAGACGGTTGCGCGGGGAGATGGTCGCTTTCAGTCTTACCACCTCGGTCTCCATGAGCCCAATTAAACAAGATCCAGAGGCCGAGCCAATCGGTTCAGGTCTCATCAGCCACAGCACCTGCACCAGCGGCTTGGCGCGCAGCACCGCGGTGATGGCGCGCGCGAACTCGATCTGCTCGCGCGCCGGCCAGGGAATCTCTGGGCCTAGGGTGATGAGGATCGTGGGTCGCTGGCGGAGCCAGAGGGCCAGGTCGGGGTGGGTTTTGCCTACCGGGCGGATGGGGCGGGTGATGGGGCCGCAGTGGATGATTTGCGGGGAATTGGGGACGGGGTCGTAGGTTCGGTGGGTGGGGAGGAGGATGAGTGGAGGATCATCCTTCTCGTTGAGAGGTGAGGGGAAGTAGGGGTCCGGGATTGGGCCGGGCAGACGTCTCGCGCGCCGGGCGGTTTGGATTTGTTGGAGATGCGCAGAGTGGGTGGTTCCCAGGTGGAGGGGGAGGGATAGGGTTAGGTTTTTCAGGGCCTGGGGGAGGGAGAGTAATCCGAGGCTGTATTTCAGAAAATTAGTGGTGCTGGGAGCGCATTTTTCAGATCATCGGATGCATAAGCAGGGGGTCCTTACACTGGACCCCTCCACGGCGACGGTGGGAGATACTCGTGCGCCAGCCCCGACCCCACCAGCACATGTCGCCACTTCAGCGTCCGGCAGACGTCCACCCCTGGCGCGAGTGTCGCGTCGACGACGATCACCAGGGGGAATATATCCGCCACGATGATCCCGATGTGGTTGTAGAGCGTGACGTACTCGGGCCCCGTCCAGGGGATCCGGGATTGCGGGAGCAGCTGCGTGTATGTTCGGAGGGTATTGCCCCAACTGCTGTGTGCGTGGAATGCGTTGTGCTGGAAGAAGCCGTTTTGGTCGGAGGCCTCGCGTTTGGTCGGCCCCGGGAGGCTGTGGAAGGTTGCTTCGTGGTGGGTCGCGCGGTCGTGGTTCAGTTGCTTGATCGAGGGGGCCAGCTCGGCGAACGAGGCGATGTGCACGCGGACGTTGTGACTGTGGGCGAGGAACTCGTGGGCGATCGCGAGGGTCTGGTTCGCTTGGTCTGGTTCGCTGTTCGTGACGATGAGGATGTTTGGGAAAGGAGTCTTTGAAGATCGCTTTGGAGTAGCCATCGTGAGTTTTTGTTGTAGGTGTTGGATGCGAGATGGTTGATGGGTTGAAGAGGATGAGAAGATGAAGGATGGAGGATCGTGAAGGCTTTATAGTACTGGTTGGAACTATCTTACGAGGTCTTTTTATACGTGACCTACGAATTAGAAAGAGTCCTCATTCACTTAATTCATGATATCGTTCCCTGATGAATTGGTTCATATAAGTACAAACGGATGTGTCAGCTGATCGATGATGCACAACATGTTTGCACGTTTGCAGAACTGATATACTCATTTCCAAGGACTGAGAGGTCGTAAGAGTAACGATTATCATTAAGTCTATCTATGCTTTTGTCTAGGTATCAACAAATATCAGAAATATCTATATGCTGGTAGCCTCGAGGGCCATATAATGCAACGCCTGCTATGCAAGTAGTGTAGATGCAACCTGGGAGCACCCGTCATTTGGTTCGTCGTAATGAACTGGTGGCTCAAAGGTTGAAGGGTGGATTGTGAAGCCCACCAGCCAAGAGCTAGCCCTATCTGACGGCAGAAAGATCAACCCTCCATTCCAGAATCGGTGCTTGTCGAGCAGCCATCCCATGCTGTGGATCGGTGCCGTGTCGCTCGTGCGGACTCAGCTCAGTCCAGACAGCCAAGAATATCACAGAGATCATCTCTTCGTCCTCAATTCTTCCCCGGCCGCCCACTAATCGAGTTACAAGTATTCACCCGATCGATATCGTACGGATTCTCCTCGTACGTGACCGTCCGCGCCAACGAACGCGCCGACTTGCGCGAAGTCCGCGACGCCCGCGACGCCCGCCGCTCGATGGCCGCCCGCGATGGAATCGTCGACAATCGATCACTGTCGCTGTCGCTGTCGCTGTCGACCGCCACACTATCCTCCTCGCCAGCCACAGCAGCCACCGGACTTCCTTTCTCCACATCCAGCGTCTCCTTCTCCTGCGGACCAACAGCAGCCTGCTTCTGCTGATGTTGCTGCTGCGCAGCGGCCAACTTCTGCATGAAGGCTTCCGCCTGCGCCGCGTACGGGCAGTGCTTACGGATGCGCGCACCATACAGATAGAAGACGATCGGGAAAGGAATGCACGCAACCGCCAGGAAGGCCGGGATGGAGGAGGCCCAGTGGATACCCAGGTTCTCGTACATGTAGGTGGTGAAGAGCGGAAAGGCGAAGCCGAACAGCGAGCGGAGGGCGGAGTTGGCGGCGAGCACGGAGGCGGCGAAGATGGTGTAGGCGTCGATCAGATAATTGAACACACTCAAGAAGACCAGCACCAGGCCGAAGCCGAAGGGCGCGCCCGCGGCCACCGAGGCCATCCAGTGAATGGAGGGGTAGTTGGTCCAGGCAAACCAAAATAGGCCCACCGGCAGGGCAATGCCGCCGATGATGCTGGGCGGGAGCCGCACCTCGGGCGCCAGCCGCGTCCCCGCGGGCGCCTCGCGGCAGCGCCGCGCGTACTTCATGTTGTCCGGGAAGGTGTAGGCGACCCCGAACACCATGCCGACCAGGATCCCGAGGAAGGCGAGGCCGCCGATTCCCTCACTCCAGCCGCGCGACTCCTGGAAGACGATCGGGTAGGCGGCGAAGAGCATGTACAGCGTCCCGTAGATGATGGCCATGTAGATGCAGAACAGGAGGACGATCGGCTCCTTGAAGAGGAGGATCCACGGCCGCGACAGCGCCGTCTTCAGCGTCTGCGACAGCGACACCGGCCCGCGCTCGATGTCCAGCTTGCTGCGGTAGACGTGACCCGTCAGCTCCGACAGCTTGGCCGCCCGCTGGCGCAGGAGCACCGGCGCATAGGTTTCCGGCAGTAGGAACACGAGCGACAGCCACACCACTCCCGAAAAGATGGCCATAAACCCCTCTACCCAGCGCCAGCCGGCCCCGGCACCCAGGAACCCGCCGATCACGGGCCCGATTGTCGGGCCGCACAGCGGTGCCGCCGCGAACAAGCTGATGGCGATGCCACGTTTCGAGGCCGGGAACATGTCCGCAATCGTGCCGCCGGAGTTGCCGAAGGGGGAGGAGCCGAAGAAGCCCGCGAAGAATCGCAGGATGACGAGCGTTTGAATGTTCTGTGCGCCTGCCGCACCGGCATTGAAGGCGGTCAGAATGGCGAAGGTGATGGTGAAGACGTTGCGGCGGCCGAAGACCTCGCTCATGGGCGCCCACAGCAAGGGCCCAAAGGCGAATCCTAGCACAAACAGGGATATTCCGAGAATCGCAATCTCTTCCTCACACTGGAACTCCTGCACCACTTGACCCATTCCGCCGGAGTACACCGAGGAGACAAGGGCCACCGTCAGCGTGACGAAGGAGACTTGCACCGTGTACAGCCATTTGGTCATGTCCTTGAAGTTCATCGGATTGCGGGGATCATTGGGGATCCAGGTCACCGCGTAGGGCGACTCCTCGGTGCCGGCGCCGTCATAGGGAAAGTCGACGATCTCTGGCGTGACGACTTTCTGGTCGAAGACGAGTTGCCAGTACGGGATTTTCGAGCTCGTGCCCACCATGGCTGAATCGGAGGGTGGCGAGAAGAGCGGAAAAAGAGGTTTAGCTCGAGGTTCGTCTTTAAGGATGTGTCAGATCGTAAAAGTCCGCCAGCATCCTTCCACCTCGTCTGACGGAGTGATGTCGAAGCAACAACAGAATCAAAGCTCCAGAAAAATAAGAAAATCTAGATGAAATGAATAATGTAGCCGATATTTGAGGGTGGAACCTGACACAATCGATTTCAAATTCATGCTGTTTCGGCACCGCTTATCCGGTTAGCAGACAGGCACCGGCCAATCAGCGCAGAGGGGGCTGAAAACGTGCCGAGGTAAAATCTCCGCATGCGGACTAGTGCGCGTCGCTTATCTTCAGGCGGTTTCTTGTTGCCGGTCGGCTTTCTTGCCTCATTTGCTGCTACTCATACAGAAGAAGCATGCATGACGCAGGCAATTCATATTGACTAGTACTGCATATTGATGCACTGATTCTCTGCGCTAAACCTCACGAGTCTCAACAACTATACCAATCAAAGCTCGATGGTCATAAATCATACTGTCCGCGTGAAGATCACGGCTTTTGGATAGTTCTTCTGCTCCTCCTGCGACTTCTCCACGGTCATCAGAAGACAGGTGGTCCGAATATGTAGTTCTACACCGGTCAGCAAACACGTCACCACATCTTAGAGAAGGGAGTAGCCTACCCTCAATGTCCAGCTCATATGTAATCCCCTGCTCCTCGTCGCGGTGAACCAGCAACGGCATCTGCTGGTCGACATACCGCCTTCCCCGAACTCGCGCCTTGATTCCAACGTTGCGACTTGGATCAACCCAGAGCATACTCGCGTCATCACAACCTTCCACAGAAGCCCTGTCGGATGGATTATTGCCATGGGCATGGGCCTGGTTCCGGTCCCGGTCCCGATCCCATCCTTCCCGTTCCTTGAGCCAATTCCGGAACACTCGAATCACCCCATCCTCGACTGTGTGGGCGCTCAGCAACAGATCGCTTCCCGGCATCACTTTCACCACATTGACCACCACGCACAACTGGGAGAAGTTCTCAACTTCTTCCAGGTTGATGAGACGCGTCACCGTCCTGTTGTCCGGGTCGTGATCTACTTCCTCGTCTACCAAGGGTCGGTCAGCTCATCATGCCTGCACAACCTTCCTCCAAAACCAGGATCAAGGACTACTTACCTGTGCCATAAGACCCCCATCGCGTCGTTGGCGATGTCCCATCCTCCAGTGTTCGCTCCGGGCGAAACCGCGAATACACCGAACCGAGTCGGCCGAGGCGCGAGGCGGTGTCTACGTTCTCATACAACGATCCCTTCCCATCGAATTGGCTGCTCAGGTCGTCCGTGCCGATGTAGGTGCAGAAGACATGGGGCTCGATGAGTTTCGAGCTGGGGTGGAAGCATTCGAGGATGAGCTTGTATTCCGGCAGGGAGGCGGCGATGCGGAGTCGGTAGTGCAGGATGCGTAGGATCAAGGCATGGAAATGGTGGCAGACTGATGTCCAAGGGAGAAGAGAGCGGGTTGAGAAGCTGGAGAGAATTTGCACGAGGACCTGGATCGGTCGGTGAATGGAGGGATGGTGATTAGCGAGGCAGAGTGGGGTGGGGAGGGGAGGATGATAAGAGGTCAAGGCTTCAAGCGTACTTCGTTAGGCAAAGAGAAAAGGTTTGTCCTGGAGGTGTTGTTGTCGCTGGCCATACTCATAGCATTATCCTTGCTGCTGTGCGATGTGAGTATGCGTATGCCTGTAGTATGCACGCTGTATGTACTGACTGTACTCTGATAACTCTACCCTCACGTAGCTGGATGATAACAGACCCGACCATGTGATGCTGACTGACCAGTTGACGCGGATGACGTCAGCTGGTCGGCCCGACGTTTGAACTCCACTCAAGCCGGCTAACCGCGGGGAAGCTGACGCCGAAAAGGGTTCAACCATTGCACATACCCCCCCTTCCTTGCACGTTATACCCCTGATAATACGATCAATACCTCCGGAGAAATTTCGCAAAGTCTGTCACTCATCGGCATTGCCAACGACAAGGTGCCTGGAGTTACATGGCAGGGTCAGGGTCCATCGCTCAAATACCCAAGTGGCTTTTAATCTACCCCGTGGTGGGCATAATTTCCGGAGCCCCGCGACGGCCGGCCCCGCCAGCCAGCCCAGGTTTTTCTTCCCTCGCTCGCTTCGGCCTTCTCTGCTGTTTTTTCTCTTCTTCCTCCTTTTTCGCTTCTCTTCTAATTCTCACACTCTCTGTTCTCTTCTTTCGCGTACCCTACTCAGCGCAAATCATTCGCGACAATGGTTGAAAAAGTTCTCGACGACATCTCCCACCGTAGATACAACCCTCTGCGCGGGTCTTCTATCTTGGTCTCGCCTCACCGGACCAAGCGTCCCTGGCAGTAAGTGTTATGCTGGCGTGATTTCAAGTGCTGGGTTTCTGGGGGAGTCCCTGTATCTGGACTCTCAAGGAATGTACGAAAGTACAAGCAGCTAATATCAATTTGTTTTTCAGAGGTCAGCAGGAGAGCCCGTCTAAGACCACGTTGCCCTCGTATGATCCTGCCTGCTATCTCTGCCCGGGCAACAAGCGCGCTCAGGGTGATTCCAACCCCAAGTATGACAAGACGTTTGTCTTCGTGAATGATTACAGCGCCGTCAAGGAGGAGCAGGCTCCTTATACTCCGGAAAGCACTGAAGGTATAATCTAAAACAAACCGTTAATACAGCGAACCAACCCCTTACTCACAGCGTTCCGCCTACAGAAACGGAGTCCTTCTTCCTCAAGGCGGAGCCGGTCACCGGAAAATGCTACGTGCTCACCTTCTCGGCGGCGCACAACCTGACCCTGGCGGACCTGTCGCCCGCGGAGATCGTGCCCGTCATCGACGCCTGGACACAGCTGTACACGGCGCACCTGTCGCCCAAGTCCCCGCTGGCGGCGGTGGCGCCCGCGACCACGCTGCCGCCCGACGCGCCGACGGCCAGCCCGGCGGCGCCCAAGGAGCAGTACCGGTACATGCAGATCTTCGAGAACAAGGGCGCAGCGATGGGGTGCTCGAACCCGCACCCGCACGGGCAGGTGTGGACGACTAGCTCGCTGCCCGAGGAGCCCGCCATGGAGCTGGAGCAGCTGCAGAAGTACCGCCGCGAACACGGCGGCAAGCACATGCTGGAGGACTACGCCGCGCTGGAGAGCCGCAAGCAGGAGCGCGTGGTGTTCGAGAACGCCAGCTTCCTCGTCGTGTGCCCCTGGTGGGCCGTCTGGCCCTTCGAGACGATGGTTGTCAGCAAGACGCACAAGCGCGCCCTCGTTGATTTGAACGAGGCCGAGAAGGCCCACCTGGCCGAGGCCATCGCCGAGGTCACCCGCCGCTACGACAATCTGTTCGAGACGCACTTCCCCTACAGCATGGGTATCCACCAGGCGCCGCTGGAGGGCACCGATGAGGAGGTCGAGGCCTCGTATCTCCACCTGCACTTCTATCCTCCATTGCTGCGCAGCGCGACCGTGCGCAAGTTCTTGGTGGGGTGAGTGATGATTTTCGTGAACTTTATGTGAAATGCAAACTGACAAGGCTTCAGATACGAGATGTTGGGCGAGCCTCAGCGTGATATCACCCCGGAGCAGGCGGCTGCTAGACTCCGTGGCTGCGGAGGTGAATTGTACCGCAAGAAGATGGATGCCTAGGTTGTAGATATAGGGTTTTAATGATAGTGCACATACATTTGAACATAGCTGTACATTCTGTGTTGCTTATCCTCGAGCTTCTACCCTTTTTTTCCGTTTATTGTCTTTTGCCTTAATTTTATTGAATTTGATGAGAGACATCACTCTCATGACAAATCGTGGTAAGTAAATCAACGGATCTGCTATTCCAGGATTGTGGAGGTACGCGATCGATCGATCCGGAGATACAGATATATATAAGTGGAGCCGCCGGATCGGCAGACCCTGCTGCCAGCTCCATGCATCATGCACAACAACTTTCCAGCTGTTAACCAACTACCCCAGAAAATGCCAATTCCACTATCCAGAGAGACCATTCGACCTGAACTCAATATCATTAGTGTTAAATTAACATTACTGAACATGCGCCCCTATCCTTATCCATTACTCCTCCTCCTCACCCCCCCCACCATCTCAGCAACAACCAACATTCCTCACCCTCACCCGCTGAACCAAACAAGAACACCCCTTCCCTACAGAAACCCACATCCCCCACCTACCCATCCCTTTGTGGAATACCACCCTAAGCACTCAAATACCACGCCCGCTCCCAAAACATCCACGTCAACGTGGACGAGGCGACGAGCAGCGGGCTGACGAACCGCCCCCGCAGCCGGGCACTGCCCTTGACCAGCTCGCCGACGAAGTGCACCAGCGCGATGCCGAACGTCCACAGGGCCAGGTCGTACACGGCCGGGTTGTTGATGTTGTAGGCGGCGTAGAAGCGGATGACGGCCGAGAGGAAGGTCCAGGTGCCGAAGGTGCGCGACGAGAGCGGGTTGGTGTAGACGTAGCCCTCCGGGGTGCGGCCGTTGTAGAGCTCGGCCGCGTAGGCTTCGGAGCGGTAGGCTTGCAGGCTGTTGGCGGCGGACACGACGGAGACCTTTTTTTTTTTGAAGGTGTTAGTTTTTGTTTTGGGGATGTGTGCGATTGTGAGGATTGGGAATGAGCGGTGTAGACGGAAAGACGAACCAGGACGAGCCATTGAGGGAGGAAGCCCTCGAAGGGGGGAAGGGAGAGCATTTTTTTTTTGGGTGGACGGGTGGATTATCTGAAGAAGTCTGGGGGGTATATTGGTGGTGGTTATACCGAGGTGATGGAAAGCTGAACGATAAAAAGATGAAGCTCCGTGTTAGCTCCCCGGGATGCAGCTTGTGGTAAGGTAAGCTAGATAGAGTGTTTGTTGGTGGTCGAAATGCGAAAACGAAGTTGCCGGCTTGGCAAACCCCAACAATTTGCAGGGCAACTCAGCTCAGCTCCGGTTTTTCCTTCTCCGCGTCAATCCCGTCAATCCTCCGCGTCTTTTCCCACTTCCCCCTCCTTTTGCACTCACGACCCCTCCGCATTTTGATTGTTTGTCTTAAGGTCACGCCGTGGGCGATCGCAATCATGGAGTTCATCACCAAGCATCTCGATTGCCTGTCCAACTGGCACCTTCATCTGCAGCCGGGATGGCAGACTGTCGGCGCCTCCCTGCTTCTGGGTGCTGGGAGCTTGTACCTCGTCTCCCGCACCTTGCTCCTCGTTCGGGTCCTGTTGAGCTTGTTCGTGCTCCCTGGCAAGCCGGTAAGTCGATTCTCGATTCCACCAATGTATCGCAGTGAAGGAAACTGATCATCTGGTGGTGCACAGCTCCGCTCCTTCGGCCCCAAGGGTAGCTGGGCCGTGGTGACCGGCGCCTCGGACGGTCTGGGCAAGGAATTCGCCCTGCAACTGGCCCGCGCCGACTTCAACCTCGTCCTCGTCTCCCGGACCGCCTCCAAGCTCGACGCCCTCCGCGACGAACTCCAGTCGAAGTACCCCGCCGTGCAGACGCGGACTCTGGCGATGGACTTTGCCCGCAACCAGGACAGCGACTACCACCAACTCAAAGAGATTGTGGCGGAGCTGGACGTGGCGGTGCTGGTCAACAACGTCGGCAAGAGCCACAACATCCCGACCCCCTTCGCGCTGACCCCGGAGGACGAGCTGGCCGATATCGTGACCATCAACTGCATGGGGACCCTGCGGGCGACCCAGCTGGTCGTGCCCGGCATGATCCAGCGGAAGCGCGGGCTGGTCCTGACCATGGGCTCCTTCGGCGGCCTGCTGCCGACCCCGCTCCTGGCCACCTACTCCGGCAGCAAGGCCTTCCTGCAGCAGTGGTCGACCTCGCTGGGCGCCGAGCTCGAGCCCCACGGCATCACCGTCGAGCTGGTCCAGGCCTACTTGATTACCTCGGCCATGTCCAAGATCCGCCGCACCAGCGCCACGATCCCCGACCCGCGCTCGTTCGTCAAGGCGGTCCTCTCCAAGATCGGCCGCAACGGCGGCTCCCCCAGCTACGCGTACAGCTCCTCGCCCTACTGGAGCCACGGCCTGATGGCCTATTTTCTGACTTGCATCACCGGCACCATGGGCAAGTTCGTGGTGGGCCAGAACAAGGGGATGCACGAGGCGATCCGCAAGCGCGCGCTGCGCAAGGCCGAGCGCGAGAAGGGGAAGAAGAGCACCTAAGCGGGTGGAGAGAACGGGGGGGGGGATCCTTTCTATTCTTAGAGCCGATCCCGCACGACCACGTGGGAGTGACTCAGGGAGGGAAGCGAGAGGGGAAGTGGCTCATGGCTGGGAGGAGAGTTTCTACGCGGGGGATGAGCAGGGGATGGTGTGGAGTTCGGCCTGAATTCCGGAACGGTGAAGGGTGTAGCAAGCTCGGTGTGAGAATCTGTCACTCGGCAAGCCGAGCCGGATGGATCTGGCGACGTCGGTCTCGGGTTGCCGAAGGGCTCGGGGGAAGGGGGGGGGGGATTCCTGTTTTTCTCTTTCGGCTTGCCTAAGCAGGGGACGGGACCGGCTGGACCTTGCCATCGATCCCCTACACGTGGTGATATTGGGCCAATCAGGGTAGACAAAGGGGGGATGCTTGCAGTCACAGATCGACAGATAGGGAATCTGATCACTTACTCCAGCTACCCTGAACATTCGCAGATAGCATTTCCCTAAACTGTCGGGGGAACGACGACGGGAGCTTTCCCGTTAGCTTCCGCTGTCAATTCCACCGCATTGCTTTTTTGGGAGTGTATGCACATCAGAGTGCGTGTACTGTGGATGAGTTCTCAAAATTGGGACAAACCTTGGGCAAGAGCATAGCATGCATACAAAAGAGATGTATGTCCACTATGGGACTAGCAGGGATTTATTCCCTTGCAGTAAGCCGTCTGACACCTAAAACGAAGAGCCGAGAGGCTATTGCGCCGGCACCAGAGGTATATACTATGCAGTAGTCATTGTAGGTGTCGTGATTGTCGCAGATATTCTTCTTTTCGGTTCTACAGGTTCTCGTTCCCTGACGCCACTTTTTTGTTTTGTGATGATGCTTGGCTACAGTGTCTGAAACCTTGGTTTTGGGGAGGTCCATGACGCCGAAGTTTGACGTTGTGTTTTGGGAATTCTCACCGCTTATGCAGGTGTGTACAGTTTGCAGCCACTGGAATTAAGGTATGGATGAGGGTGAGGGTTATGATCTCATCGGCCGGAGCGAGTGATTCCTCCAGCGAGTCTAGCGAGTCTAGACCAGGGAGGGCTAGTGCCGCTATCATCATGGCCATGTTATCTTGATCCACGGTGCAGTCGGTGGCCGCCCGGGATTGCTTCCCTTTTGGATGGGATGCTCTGGCTGGCAGGGGTTCGGGTTTCAAGGTTAGGATGGATGATGATATTGATACTGATGATGAGGTTGTCATTGGGTTGTGATTGTGATGATTGTAGATGGACACCAGGGTAACCCTCTTTCCTCGTTGTAACAGGTATGGTACGGGTAGGATTGATGTCCATCGCCGTAGTGCTGGAGTGTACAGGCTGGCCTCTTACGTGTGGTGTTCACCAGTCACTTGGATCCTCGCTTTGCGTGCAGTGAGCTAGTACTGTAGTCTACTATACCCACACCCGGTCTGGTCCTACTTCGCTTACAGGCTAGAGCGAGGTTCGGGTTTGAGGTGGTTGTTGGGTATGATCCAAACACACTGAAAATGAAACAAAACAAAAATAAACCAGACAGAATTTTTTTTTCCGTTCTGGGCAAACTGGGTTTGGGTTGGGAATGGGTCAGGAACCGGGACTGAGTTTTTCTGTTTCGCCGCTTGTTGCCTGCTTGGTTGGTTCCTGGATTGATGCCTTAGGCTTGATATCGTAGTTCTACGTCTACATGTCCGTTGTTTTGAGGGCAGTCGTTGAATGGGATAATTGTGTCTTGCTAGAGGGCATAGCTGTCGGGAGTGTGTTTAGCCAGACACCTAGAATGCAATTATTCTGTTTGCAAACAAATGCCAGCATGTTATCTTGGGCTATCATTCCTAAGGCCGAGTGCAGCGTTGTTTGTTGTTCTGATCTCGGGTGAAACATCAGGCTGGCTAGACCGCATTCGGGACGCGTGAGAACCAGCCCTCAGTCTACGTTGACCCGACTCAAAGTGGGGACATTCCTTGGTGAGGTGAGGCCCGGCTCCACTCTGCTTCCGGCAGTGTCCTGAGTCTAGAGAACAGTAGGTGCCGTTGCCGGTTGGGTGGTTTGATCTTTTCACCTCAACTAAGTGATTGTCTTGGTGGTGTGAGGTTCTGCTGGGTTGTGTGATGATTTCAAATGGGCTGGTCTGCTCTAAGTTTTAACTGCTGTATACACTTTTTGAGTCGAGGGAGAGTTCGCGTACTGTGTGCAGCACACACAACAGCACAAGAGATCGGTTATATCGGCCGAATCACCACGAGAGCAAGAAAATTTCATCTCGCACGGGCAAAGCCGAGATAGATGACGGGCACCCGTTGCGCCTGCCAGTGTTTGGGCTTTCTCGCCCCGTCCGGCATGCCGATAACAGCTCATCAACATGAATTGTCTGACCAGCAAGAAAACTTTTCACCGGGCCGCCGAAACCAGTTCGAGCCAGTGCAGATCGGCCAACTTCCGTCGAGTGGTGCGCACTCCACCCGCCACCGGTGAGCTTCAAACGGGAAGGATCCAGGTTCTGCCTTGGCTAGCGGCCCCTCATCTAGCCTCGTCTAGTGGGCTAGTCTGCTTAGGCTGGGTTTAGCGGTGCTGGGTTCGGCACACCGAGACAACTTTCTGGGCGTCTGGCGGTGCAATGCCGATTCCGAGGGATTTTGTAGGCTGAGGGTTCGGGTGGCCGAGAGGAGGGGCTCGGGTTGGTGCTGACGCTGCACTTGGTTTGCTGGTGAGGGGGTGGTACATGGTGGTATTGCTATAGACTTAGTACTTATTTCACATTATAGCACACAGAACTCATTGCAAGCTATACTCTTTTTTTTTTTTCTCCTTGTTGGATGGTGTTGTGTATATCAGCCCAGACGGCGACACCGAAAGCGATGACGCTGTGGTGGTGGTGAAGATGGTGGTGTTGTTCCTGAGTGTTGTGGCCGGCCTTGGTTCGGGATCGACACGGGATTCTCTCTTTGAAAAAAAGCAGAAAATTTCTGCTTGCAGGGCGAAACCAGCACTAAACCACCACTGGGCAAGCCCCACTTGGCGCCCGCGGATCTCCCTCGATTGGTACCGCTTGCGGCAACTTTACTACGACTCTCACTGCTGCACGGATTCTGGTTCCTCAGGGGTTGTCTGTTTGTTTGGCAACCAGGCGAGTAGAAAAATCTTTTCATTTCCTTCGCGTCAATTCTCTGACACAGAGAAAACCAGAGCACTGAATCGCTGGTGGATCATGGTCTCTGGTCCTCGTCGTGAAGAAGGCTCTGTTTGTTCAGCTGCGGTGTTGGATTACTTCATCCTGGGCTTAGTAACTGGACTTAAGTTAAGTCGCTGTCTATACGTAGCAGGAAAGCAGGAAAGCAAAGGTGGTGGTGGATCATGCGCCCGCCCATCCGCTCTTGCACAGCATCCCATTCAACCATCGTAACACAACCTGAAGCTGTCATCGGCATGCACGGCACCCTTTGTTCAATTGTTGTGTATTGTGTCTGGGTGGCAAACCACCCGGCGTCGAATAAGGCCCGATTGGCGAACAATGGGATTGTACTCAGTAGGACTGGTTGATGGGCGCATCCGCATCGCATCACACGGGCCTCAACCTGGTCACGGAGTGCTATAGGGAAGCAATTTAGATTGCAAGCGGCATCACAATGACGGAGGCCACGAGGCCGAAAGGGGAGTCAATTCCGGAGCCGATGGAAGGATAGAATCAATAGTGTAGAGGTAGAGGTAGAGGTGGCAGATGTAATCTGCTGTCATTCAATAGCTAACTAGCTACTGTGTATGTACAGTAAGGTTGTATGCAGTAATACTGCAATAATAATGGAATGCATAAGATGCAGAATGACCGAATCGGGTAGGCACTCGTGACTTGAATCCAAGTTTGAAAAGGCCGGATCGGGAGGATTCCAGAAGGGTTCCATTCTTTTTCCCCATCAAATAATCTCCTCACTCTCTCCTCACTCTCTCCTCACTCTCCCACCTCAACCCACACCTTTCTCCCACTTTCTCTCCCAGTCCCCCCCCCCCAAATTCCTCGCTCCCTCCTTGTCTCCGCCGTCTTCAGCCTTTAGTCAGGCACGTTTCTCCGGGTTAGTGCCGCTTTCTGTCGGCCTGCCCTCTCCAGTCTCCAGACCCGGTTTCTCCACTTCGCCCAGTATGCCCAATAATGTGCCCGGAATCTCTCTCCCTCCACTTCCCCCTAGCTTTGCAATGTTCCGAATTCTCCCACCCTCGTTCGTCCCGGCTCTGTTTTCGGGGTAAATCCCGAGTCAAAAATTCACGAGAAGAATAAAAAAAAATACCAAACTGAGACGCTGAGATCTGGGCCCCCGTTTTTTCCTTGCCCATGCCCATGGTCCTACCCCGACAAGAATGGGCCATGGGGTGTCTCCTCCAATCCCTGGGATGGAGGCGAATTGCCGACGGATCGAGTGCTGCTGCTGCGTTCAAAAATTCTTTTCCCTTGCCTTTTTCAGTCCGTTTGTTGATGACGCCGCCGTCATCCTTACCGAGTCCCTCTCCATCTTTCCGTATATAATTCCTCCACTTCCCCCAGCTTCTCACTCTTGACATCTTCCCCTTCAACCCATCAGCTTGTGTGTGCTTTTCTACTTGCCTTCACACTCATCCACAACTGTCAAGAGGGATTTCCACTCGATCTGCCTTTGTGTCTGTGAACCCACCGGCAACATGGGTGTCCACAACATTATGTCTCGCTTCAAGCCTTCGACTGAGCACTCGGAGGCTTCCACTCCTGCTCGCTCCGACTCCTACGCGGAGAAGGACCACGGCATCGTCGATGACTCTCCCGTCAAGTATCTCACCTGGCGTTCGTTCATCCTTGGTCTCTGTGTGTCCATGGGTGGTTTCATTTTCGGTTACTCGACTGGTATGCATGGCGATCCTTTTCCCCTCTTGACACCCGACTCCGGCTAACACCCCGCCTCCCCACAGGTCAAATCTCCGGTTTCGAGACCATGCAGGATTTCCTGATGCGCTTCGGTGAGCAGCAGGCTGATGGCTCCTATGCCTTCAGCAACGTTCGTTCCGGTCTGATCGTCGGTCTGGTATGTTTGTTGTTCATTCCGTGCTCGGCTACGAGATCGCCCTAAACTAACCGCCGTGTCAGCTCTCTATCGGTACTATGATTGGTGCCCTGACTGCTGCTCCCATTGCCGACCGTTTCGGCCGCAAGATCTCCATCTCTTTCTGGTCCCTCATCCACATTGTTGGCATCATCATCCAAATTGCCACCTCCACCAGTTGGGTCCAGGTCGCCATGGGCCGTTGGGTTGCTGGTCTCGGTGTCGGGGCTCTGTCCAGCGTCGTTCCCATGTACCAGAGTGAATCTGCTCCCGTCCAGGTTCGTGGTGCCATGGTCAGTGCCTTCCAGCTGTTCGTCGCCTTCGGTATCTTCATCTCCTACATTGTCAACTACGGCACGGAGAGAATCCACTCCACTGCCTCCTGGCGTATCACCATGGGTATCGGTTTCGCCTGGCCCTTGATCCTGGGTATCGGTACCCTCTTCCTGCCTGAGTCCCCCCGTTACGCCTACCGCCAGGGCCGCGTTGACGAGGCTCGTGAGGTCATGTGCAAGCTTTATGGTGTTGGTCCCAACCACACCGTCATCATCCGTGAGATGAAGGAGATGAAGGACAAGCTCGAGGAGGAGCGCAACGCCGGCACTGCCAAGTGGCACGAGCTCTTCACTGGTCCTCGCATGTTCTACCGTACCATGCTGGGTATCGCTCTCCAGTCTCTGCAGCAGCTTACCGGTGCCAACTTCATCTTCTACTACGGAAACACCATCTTCCAGTCCACCGGTATCTCCAACAACTACATCACCCAGATTATTCTCGGCGCGGTCAACTTCTTCATGACTCTGCCCGGTCTCTACATTGTCGAGCACTATGGTCGCCGTAAGAGTTTGATGTACGGTGCCGCCTGGATGTTCATCTGCTTCATGATCTGGGCCTCCGTCGGTAACTTCGCTCTGGACATCAACAACCCGGAGAGCACCCCTGCTGCTGGTAAGGCCATGATTGTCTTCACCTGCTTCTTCATTGTCGGTTTCGCTACCACCTGGGGTCCCATCGTCTGGGCCATCTGTGGTGAGATGTACCCTGCCCGCTACCGTGCTGCCTGTATCGGTATTGCCACTGCTGCCAACTGGACCTGGAACTTCCTCATCTCCTTCTTCACCCCCTTCATCAACTCCGCCATCCACTTCGCCTACGGTTACGTGTTCGCCGGATGCTGCTTCGCCGCCATCTTCGTTGTCTTCTTCTTCGTCATCGAGAGCAAGGGCCGCAGTCTCGAGGAGGTCGACAGCATGTACGTGCTCCACGTCCTGCCCTGGAAGTCGGAGAGCTGGGTTCCCCCTGAGGGCATTGTCGATGACATGCACCACCCTCCCTCCTCTCCCAAGGCCGAGGGCCAGGCTGAGCACAGTGAGCCCACTGAGCTCCGCGAGTAAGCGGATCGTCTTCCGATTCTGCGCTCCTGTACATTGACCATCTCATCTACATCGCTTTTAATGGCTCGCATTTAGTGGCTTGCATTTTTTTTCTTTTGCTTCTTGAATGGGTATGAATGCATCAAGGCATGGTTGTACGACCTGACCTCTGGCTGGGAATCTGACGTTCGGCGTTTGTTGATACCTCTAAGTACGATTGATTGATTGATTGATTAAGAAATGAAAATCCATACACTATCACAAGCATGTTCTGTTCCCCGTAGCTTGAGCGTAGTGATTGGGTGGATTGTGCCACGTCAACGGTGTCATTGCAGTGTTGGATTGTGGGTCAACGGAGCACAACGATGTCTTAATGTCCCGTCTCTCCATACCCCAGCGCTTGATTCATATCTGCATGTCTCAAATTTAAGCTTTGCATCCCTGTCATGCATATTTGGTCCGATGCGGTTATTTGTATACAAGCATCCTCAATCTAACATTTCTGATCTTGTGATTGTTGTCATTCTTTGGACAATGGCCAGGTTGCCTTGACAAGGTGTCGGAGTAAACAAGGACCTGGGATTTACGGTCCTAGTTTTTCTTTGAACGGTTGCTGATAGGACTCCGTGTTAAGAGTAGGTGATGGTGTAGGTAGGTCAGCTGGCCTCCTTGCTTCTTTCTTAGTGTGAGTCCCGCGTTTGTAAGGTAGTATTTGTTTTCGGTACGATCCCTGCCCTGGAGTATACACTTTCCACACACGCACACACACACACACACACACACACACACACACACACACACACTCTCTCTCTCTCTCTCTCTCTCTCTCTCTCTCTGTGTCTCTCTCAGGGAGAGAAGATGGTGCAGTGCATTATATTATCTTCTTGCCCAGACGCGGCCCACGCCATCTAAACTGTGCCGATCTCCGATCCTATGCTATTCATACTACGTTGGGTGATCTGGTCTCATTGAACACTCACCACCCAATTTTGCTGGAAAGGAATATGAGTGAGTGAGAGGAGAATGTAGTATCGCTTCTAGCATGGATCGCCTACCATACATACCCTGGACCTAAACCTTGGACCCTGGACCTGAACCTTGAAGTCTCAGCCGTAAGCTACAAGCGACAAGCGACAAGCTAAGCTAAACCAAGCTATGGCTAAAACGGGCCGGTCCTTCTTTCCCTGGGGCTCTTGCCTCGTGACCCGGTAGGTTGAGTAGAGGTAAGCTTCCCGTCCATTATACTTCATTCGAGGTACTTAGTTGTACCCAGTACAGCAGTTGGGTTGTCGGGACGGGGGCTTAAGAGCTTAGCTTTCGTTCTTTTCTTTTTCCTTTTTTCCTTTTTTTTTCTCCCTCATGTGACAAATGTTGTCTTCATATTTTGAGTTGCAGGTGATTCCTGATAAATCTCCCGCTACCATGCATGCATGCATGCATGCATCAGATGGAGAGCGCATGATCGATTCAAGGATAGTGTCATTCGGGTGAAGAAGTTATGCTTAGGGTGATTAATATATCCCACTAAGAAAAAATAAGTAAATAACACTCTGAGGCGATCTGATCAGCATTAGAAGGGGGGATAAACCCCGGATCAGGTACATCCTTGCTGAACTGTTGGTCCTTGAGTCTAGTCCCCCCCCCTCTAGAGTCTCCGGATCCCCGTCTCCAGAGGAGGGAGACGCTGCATAGTGTCTGTTCTGTCTGTCTGTTCCAATTTTAAACCTTCCAATCTCTAGCTGCAGTTACTTATCTGGTTGCAATAGCCTCCTTTCTCGATGAGATAGACACCCAGATGAATATTGGGGGACTTTCCAGCTGTGCATCGTCATTTACAAGGCATAGATAGATCCTAACTACCTCTCCTAAGCTTCATGGTGAGCCAGTTATGAACTCAGCTGCCTACAGCTTCCAGCATCTCTCAACCACTCTCTTCTCCCAGGGTGCCTCGAAATGCATTCCCTGCTCATAACGTTTCGATGAATCTCCGGGAAAGTTGTAAGACCGGTCAGGACACATCTATCCCTGGCCCAGTCTTCGAATGTATAGTAAAATAGATTTCAACATGTTGGTGCGGTGGGGATACAAATCCCCGTACCTGCAAAGAAAGCCTTGGTTTGATGGGGATGTGTCTTATGAAAGGGGGGTAAGTGTTGCGCCAGGCTGATGCATTCTTCTTGTCTTTTCTTTTCTGCTTTCGATCTTTCGACTGTACAGGCAAGTGGTATGGTGGAAACTGGGGAGAGGGTTGTGAACTTGTTTGTCGGTATGGCTGGGTTTGGAAAGCAGGGCTCTAGGCTGGAGGGGGCGTGATGCTTGCTTGCTTGCTTGCTAGGTGGTAGGTAGTTTTGATAGGGGAAGAATGTTTTGGACAGTTTAAGAATGGATGAAAACTAGTGGGTTTGGTTTGGTCGCTTGAGGTAGGATATTGTGAGGTCGTTCGATTCTATTCTCCTTGGTTGTGGAAATGGAGGGAATCGTCATCGAATCTGCCTTCCATAATAGGAGAATAAGGACCAGGATTGACTGCTTCTGCGAATAGACAGTTCTTTGCTGATGAAGCTATCAGACAGCAAAGATATCGAGTACCCAGAAGGCTTCTTCAGCTGTACCATGAACCCAAGCCAGACCACAAATCTACACCTTACAAAACATACTCAGAATCAACAATCAATTCAACTGGGCCCACAAACCCAGGTATATCTAGGAAAGACACAGAAACAACTCTTTCACTCAAGATCACTAATCACAAAGAAGACGTGGAACAAACACCCCAAACGCCCCGGCAGTTTTTTGGAATCACCCCTGTTCAATTCATGACCACTTATGTTGCAACGAGGATTGAGCTTTGGACTTGGTGCGCGGTGCGCATTGCGCACAGGCAATACGCAATGCAGCACGCGATGCGGTAGGTTAGGTGTATTAAGAGGAAAGGACTTCGTCTCGTCATCGACCATCTGCTTGGTCCGCTTAACGACGCTGGGTCTTGCCGATGGTGCGCTTGCCGGTGAACTGCAGCATTGTTAGCAACGGGATCAATGAAACAAGATACAAGCCATCTTACCAAGTGCTTGGGCAAGGAGGCGGTGGTGTGTCGATCGGCCTCTCCCTGGCGGGCCATGCGGTTCATCTTCTTCTGGCCCAGCTTGGCCAAGCGCTCCGCCTTGGTGCGCGCCTGCTCGTCCGTCACACCGTCGTGCAGACGATCCGTCGCCGCCTGGCTGCGAGCGCGGCTCTTGGCCCGGGCAATCGCCACGCGAGGATCCGAGAGATCGACGTCCATCGCATCGTCCATGTCCGCGTCGCGCGTGAGCGGGCGGCCGCGGACCTGGCTCTGGGACCGCGCCCGGCTGGCGGCGGCGTCGACGTCGTAGCCCGCCGAGTCCAGCGCCTCCTCCATCTGGGACAGCTTCTTGGCCTTGGCGCTGCGCGGGATCGCCGCCCGGTTCTTGAGCGACTTGCGCAGCTTGGCGTCGTTCTTCATCAGCGCCCGCTTCTCGCGGATCAGGTCCGCCTTCATGCGGGTGTCGGCGTCCTCGGCGTCTTCCACACTCTCGTCCGACTCGTAGTAGCCGTCGGCCTCCAGCTTCTCCTCTTCCTCCTCCAACGCGGCCAGCTTGGCCTCGATATCCGGGTCCACGTAGTCGTAGATGTTCTTGCCGTTCCACACCTCGGGGATCTTGTCGTGCTTCCACTCGTCGTTGGCCAGGTCGTAGGTCTTCTTGAGGTCGATGTTGTAGACACCCGCACCACCGTTCTCCTCCTCGAGGTCTCTCTCCAGCTTCTTGCGGTTGGGGTCGTTCTTGTCGTATTTCTGGAGAGTCTTGACGGCATCGGGGATGAAGGTCTCGCGCGTCACGCCACCCATGGGCTGTGCGACGTGGATACGGGCGAGGACATCGCCCAGACGACCGCCGGGGGTACCGGCGTTATTGGTGCCAGACTTAAGCTTCTGGGCCACACGCTCCGCGAGAAGCTTGTCGCAGGCCGCGTTCTTGACGTTGGTGACACCCTCGGTGGTCGTGCAGGACAGCTGCAGGAGCTCAACATCACCGGACTTGAGGATGGCCTCGAGCTGCTGCTGGTACTCAGGCTCCAGGTCCTCGGGGCGGCGGACATCGATCTTGTTGACCACCAGGAAGACAATCTTGTTGGCGAAAAGGGGCTTGATGCTGTGGAACAGCTTGATCTGGTCACCCACGGAGTAACCACACTGCTCGGACAGATCCATGAAGTAGAGGACGGCAGAGCGCAAGTGGGCAATGGCCGTGATGGACTGCATTTCAATGGTGTTCATCTCCTCGAGGGGGTGGTCGAGAATACCAGGGGTGTCGATGGCCTGGAAACGAAGGTACTTGTAGTCGAAGTGACCGACGAACAAACTCTTCGTGGTGAAAGCGTAGGGCTGGACGTCGACGTCCGCGCGGGTGATGCTGCGCAAGAAGCTGGACTTGCCGACGTTGGGGTAACCGCAGATCAGGAGCGTGCGGGTGTTGGGGTCGATGGCGGGCAGACGACCCAAGTGCTGACGCACCTGCTCAAGGTAGACGAGGGGGTCCTTGAGACGCTTGCAGATGGTGGCCATACGACCGAGGGCAGCGCGCTTGAGCTGCTTGCACTGGAAGAGCGACTGCGCATACTTGATCAAACGAACGTAGTCGCGGGAGACGGTCTCAATGAGGTGCTTAGCGGTCGAGATCTGACCGAGAGCGATTCTGAAGTGGTCGGCATCGTAAAGGGTGTTCATCAAATCCTTGTCTGACGGGAGTTTAGATTATCTGACCGACTAGTCTCAAATGCCGAGGGGCGAATTCTCTGGCACAGTCGGGGAGCGAAACTTACGGAAAGGGTGAATGTCCTGCAATCTGGGGAAGCCATCGAGAATAGCCTGGAACTTTTCGCAGAAAGTCTCCTGGGTGTATTTGACCTTTCTGGTGTAGAAGCCTATCGATCGAAAGAGATTTCCGTTAGTCAAAATTCATCTTCCTATCGGCTTCCGCGATGGAAACCAGCGACTCGACGATCAACGTCGCAAAGTCAACAAAAGCATTACGGACCTCGAATACGGCTGATATTGAAGCCCGCACGGATCTGAGTGGGCAGCTGTCTCTGGGTGCGACTGAGGACGATGTCCAAGAATTCCTGATGCGTAGGCACCGGAGCGATCTGATCAAGCGGTGAAAATGAGATGTCAGTCCGGCTGATTTCTTAAGGCGATCTGGAATGAATCCCAGGGTTATCGGGATGGCTTACATCTTTCCACGTCGTCTTCATGATGGGAACCTGTGAAATAGAGTCGTAACAGAAAGCGACTCGTCAAGGGAACCCCGGGGATGGATTGTCAGAGTTGGTAGCCTTCGGAGTCGAGATCAAACGAAAAAAAAATAATTGCGGGCGGCGGTCGCTGGGCAGATTTTGGCGGGCGGTGAGCGATTGATTGGGTGGTGATTTTAGTTCCGCTGGTGTGTGGGGGAAAGAGGAGGCTCTCCGGTGAGGGAGAAAAACCTCTTGTGCAAGTTGATCTCCCAGCTAACTTACGCCCCATCTTATGTAATCCCCCCGATATTGAGTCTAAAACTTATTATGGAGTCTTCATTTACATTGACTATCCGGGAATATGATACATCAACATGCGTGTCCTGACAAAACCACCCACGGTGTTTCAATCCGGCCATCGTATCGTCATCATCCCTGTCCCTGAACCCCCCGTCGTAGCCCGACAGAACGCCTTGCTTTTATCAGAAACCCACCAGGAAGACTGAAAATCCCGTTTAATCAAGCCATAAAGATGCATCAAACCGTCATCGAGGGAATGGGTACGAGAAGGTCGAGTCAAGAAATCATAAAAGGGAAGGTCGCACGGCCGTCCACCACTAGATCATCATCATAAGAAACAGCCCGAGCACGGGTACTTCACTCCCGGGCGAAATCCTGGGTGAAATCAAACACCTGCACCGGCACCCTGTTAGTCCAGAAACAAGAGCAGAAGACCATGACACTTACCAAGTCCACCCAACCACCACCGCCAAACTGACACTTGCTAGGTCCGCGGTTCTCAAAGCCAAACGATTCATAGTAAGGAATCAGATGACCGTGCGCGATAATCGCAAGGCGGTCGGCGATCTGCGCATCCTTGATGCGCTGGATATAAGACTTCATGAGGGTGCTGCCAACCGTCTTGCCCTGATGCTCGGGCAGCACGGCAAGCGAGTGGATGGCGATTGTGCTACCATACTCATCGTGGCCCACAGTCTCGCCGTTCTCCACGGTCATGCGCTCGGTCTGCCAGTTGGCCGGCATCGCCATCGACTTGTCCGTCACCACGGGGCTGGAAGTTCTCGTGGCGATAACATGGCCGACCAGAGTGGGGCGGGGCTTGGGTTCGCCCTCGCGAAGGATGGGGAGAGTGAAGAGACCGAGACAGAGTTCAGGACACCGGCTCAGACGGTAGCGGAACTACAGATTGCGTCAGTCATCGGAGTAGCGTGTCGGCTTTCATGATGTAAGCAGCGGGGAGATGTACCTTCTCGCTCGTACAGCGCTCGTGTTGGGGAAAGGCCTCCTCGACCTGAACACAGTCCTCGACATTCGACTCTGTAAGAACCTGCACAAAGGGGTGCAGTTCGTCCAACTTGGTGCGCTGGTGCACAGGCGGGCGGCGAAACCAATAAGGGTATTCGACATCGTCGTGGTCCACCGAGACATACTCCCCGTCGACCTCCTCTTCGCCCTCTTCCTCATCCTCGTCATCGATGTCAGCATCTTCCAAGGGAAGGCCATTAGCCCGAGCAGCCTCTACCCGCTCTGAATGGTTGGACAGCTCGCGCGCGGTGGCGGGAAGGGAAAACGAGTCTGCGTTGGACAACGGCCGGAGCCCGTTGACGGGTTCTTCATAGTGGTTGGACTGGTCGGACATGGTTGCGAGCCGGGGTAGGCGCGCCAGGCGATGAAATGGTGAAACTTGAGTAGAGGATTGACAGTGTGGGAAAGGTGCGATCGACAAGCGACAGGATGACCGAGGATGCAGGTAGGCCAAAATCCGGAACTGGGGGCTGAGCTGCGCAAAGGTAGAATTCGGGATAAATCGAGGGGTAGGAAATACGCGGGAAGGCCTAGAGAAAGAAAGAGTGGGGTTCAGTTTTTAGCTCAATGCGGACGATAAGCCTCGGACTGCGATTCCAGAAGCTCGATCCGGAGGCGATCATAGTGAATGAAGCACAGGTAGCTTACTTTGAAGGAAGTTCCGTAGGGAAGAGACTCGGGTAAACTTGTAGAGGGGGACAGTTGGGGGAACTGTGAAGCTACTCGGACATGGAAATTTGCAGGTACGCGCACAAGGGAAGAGGAGAGAAGAGCAACAGGCTGAGAGAGATCAAGACCTGCTGCAGAGTTTGTGCGGGCGGAGGAACCGATAACGGGAGGAGTGGCCAGAAAAATGTAACAACCAGTCTGCAAGGTTGCAAGCAAATTTGAAAGAAAACAAATTTGAAAATCGAACTTTTTTTCTTTTTTTTGTTTCTTCTATCGTATCTTTACAGCGTCACGAAACCCTCGAGCCCCAAATCCTTAACCTTCATCTCCTTCTACTGTACGGAGTACCTTTCACCAAACCCTACAGATTCAGTTCAGTTCAGATTCTTGGTCCTTGCTAGCCATAGCCTTGGGAAATTGCGACAGACAAGTAGGTTGTACTAAAAGGTACTAGGGGTAATTACCCCCGGGAGGTTCTCCGCTTTGCGGCTGGTGGATCAATGAGATCCACGAGAATGGTATTTGATGGGGTTTCGGTATGGTCAGCCCCCGTCCGGAGTTGCACCCGGTCATTTCCACTGCTGCTGCCATTATTGTCAACCAATTCCGACGCTGAGACTCTTTATCCCTGGCATTAGGTTCGAGTCCGGGATGGTTGTTTCAGGTCAAGCGCATCGCTTCCGAAGGTGAAAAACAACGTGTTTGTCTCTGCTTATATCGACGAATTACGCACAGATCGATGTTTGCGCAGCTTTGATGTGACTACTCCGGGGCATGTACTGTACCTGACAGAAGTGACGTAGTTGCAAAGATAGAAATAGATTTCCATAGCCAGAATAGTCAGATATGACCCAACCACGCATTAGTGCCTCCATCCTGGTCGGCTTGGGGAGCCTTTATTGAATAATGTCGTAATACATACGGAACATGAAAGATAAGGCCCTGCAACAGATCACCCTCCCGCTCAGGCTATCTCCCCTGCTTGTCGCCTAAGATATGCAGCTACCATCTCCGGGTCTGCCAACCGCGGCGTATGCGCCGTCTTGACCTTCTCGGTTTCAAACCGAGCGCCCTTGGCCCGGGCTCTGTCTACCATCATTTCTTGCACAAACAAAGGAATAGCTCGATCGTCCTCGCAGAGCATATAGCTGCATGGGATGTGCAAGTAAGCTGCATCGGTCGCGGGTGTTGTGTGAGTAACATAAGCATGAGGCCGTAAAGACTGCGCCCATGATCCACCATCCGAAACGTCATGGAATAAAACCTGGACGGGATCTCTCACGGTGATGGTGTTGATAATCTCCTGGAGAAATCACTTTAGTATGCACAGTCACAATTCTGGCGTTCGAACCAAGTCACGCACATCATGGATATACCATTCGGGAGCTAATCCACCAAAAGCTCCCAGTAGGCTTTCACCGACTTCAGGCAGGAAGGCTGCAAGGAAAACCAGCTTGATCACTCCGCCAGACTTGCCAGCTACTTCACGCTTCGCTTTGCCCAGTCCGTCCAGTGCACTATTCACGGGAAGGCCGGACCAGCTGTGTGAGACCACGAGGATATCGTGGCCATTGTCAGCCTCTTGCTGCACGAGACTCCGGACAATGTTGATGTCTGAATGGAGATCTTGAACAGTGGTTGCCTGTTGTATGGACGGAAAGGCAACAGTGTGACAGCGATAGCCTGGCAGCTTTTCAATAACGGGGTCGAACGCTGTGGGAGGATACCAGGCGCCTGGGGCGAAGATAAGGGTGGGTTTAGCCATGTCGAATACCAGAAATATGAAATTAGATGATCAAATAACTTCTCATTTCCGTTCACTTTGATACCAAACATGATGGGTGCATCTTCACTTGTATGCTGCTGCTTCAAAGCCCGTGATGTGCCGATTCCAGCAGCCGTTGCCAGGAGCCTGAGCTGAGCTCCTTGCGATCCCATATAGAACCACAAGATCGGGATCTAAGCTTTATCCCGGTCCAATCGACCCGATCCGACCCTGCCGATCAAATCCCGCATGAGACATGTCTGCTAAGGTATCATGGTATGAGTAAGTTACTAGGTACGGAGTAACATGTCAGACAGCCATAGAATGTTGACTTATAAGGTTCGTTCCAGAAGGATCCGAGGTAACGTCTCCAACATGTTGAAGTGAAGATCCCCTCACACCAAGATTGTGCTTATCGTGTGACGCCAAGACTGGCTGCCCAAAACCGGCCATGAATGCGGGGGAAACAGAAGCTAAGGGTTCTGGAAATTCAATCACTGACCACCTTGCCTCTTGCCTTTCTCCTCCTTTGATGCTTGCAGTTCTGCCGTCTCTCAGTGGAAGTAATCCTAGCACTGAAACTGATAAATACACTGACAAGTGAACACACTTCCGACTGGCCTGTTGTTTAACCCATTCACTATTCACTGACTAATTGCGGGGCGCATCTACAATCATGGGCGACTACGGACAAGGAGCGACATCGCTCGAGACGCGAACGCTAACCACCCCTCCTTCCACCGCTACTGAACCCGATGAGATCTCTGTGCTGGTCACAGGCTTTGGGGTAGGTTCAGCTCCTGCTCCTGTTATCGCGCAACCACGGTCTGATGTGCCGCTCTCTACCTAGCCATTCAAAACGAACCTGGTCAATGCTTCTTATCTGATCGCCTCATCGCTCCCTCCTTCCTTTACATTCTCCACCACCACCCCCGACTCAGCGCCTTGTCGTGTCTCAATCCATGTCCATCCTTCTCCGATCCCAGTTGCCTACTCAACCGTGCGGACGACGCTACCCGTGATTCTGGAAGAGTACGCCAAGGCACACGATGGCCGACGCCCGGACATCATCATCCACATGGGCATAGCGGCGACAAGGAACTACTACTCAGTGGAGACCCAGGCCCACCGCGACGCATACCTCATGTCCGATATCAAGGGGCGATCGGGCTACGAGGACGGAGAGCGTATATGGAGGGAGCTGGACTTACCCACCGTTCTCACCGCGGGGCGTGCAAGTGCATCGGTGCCATCGGCGAAGAAGTACCTCAACTCTTATCCACCAGACACCGACTTCCTGATGGCGTGGCAGTCATTTGCCGGCCCAGGCACGGACGTTCGGATCTCGAACGATGCGGGACGATACCTCTGCGAGTTCATCTTCTACTCGAGTCTGTCGCTGGCCTACCAAGAGGGCCAGGATCGGAATGTGGTCTTCTTCCACGTTCCCGGGTCCTGCACTGAGGAGCATATCGCAGCTGGGAAAGATGCCGCCATTGCGTTGATCAAGGCTCTGGTGACGAGTTGGGTGGTCAGCGGTAGCAGCCCGGCCTAGGCGGAGTCATATCGCATGCTTCTGGCATTTTAGACGCATTGGGAGGCATTGTTGCATTCGGCATAGCCTAGTTTTACTACTTTCATGATGCAGTGGACACCGTCGGAAATCCAGTGGAATGGTCAGACATGGCGCGGGCAAGAAGGAATTTGTAGTTAATGCTAAGCTTGAGCTGAGCTGCAATCAAGGGATCCAAAGAAGATTTCACCTCGTTTTGGTGCATGACAATCGGATTTCCGTGTCTTGGATTATCTTGGACCAGACACCACCTAGACCCACACCAGTGACTCCTTTGATGTGATATCAATTGTAATCGATCTTCCTGGGAACAATAGGCGCTATTTATTGGCGGCATGAGTCAGACCTCACATAAGCACGATAAGGATGATCCTCCGCGGGATCTCCGGGGTCTGCTCGCTTATCGCGAACTACTTCTAACCATTCCCCCCTCGCGCCTTTTTCTTTTCTTCTTTCTCATACTCAGCCATAATGATCTCATAGCTTGCAGTTTATCACTCCCCTCGAAAATGGCAGACCTAGTCCTCCTCGCGATAATTGTCCTCCCACTAGTCTTGTTCCTCCCGGGCCTCAAAACGTGGCTCGCAACTCACCTACCCCACGCCCTGACGACCCTCACGACCCTCCGCCGCAACCATCACCCCAAACAATCCCACGAGATCGTCGCCCTCCGAGTCTACCCCATCAAATCCTGCCGTGGACTCACCCTCCCCCGCACGACTTTACTTCAGCATGGCCTCGACCTCGACCGACGGTGGATGATCGTCGACGCGGCGACGCACGAGTTCCTCACCATCCGCACAAACCCGCGCATGACGTTGATCACCACCGCCCTGAGCAGCAGTAGCGGCAGCACCACCACCTCCGACGAAACAGCGCAAGATACCTCAACCCTCAACCTAACCATCTCACTCCCCGCCTCATCCACATCCCCTACCGCGCCAGCAGCCACCACCAAAATCACCATCCCCGCGCACCCAACCCCAACCTGGCTCGCCCAAAACACCACCCTCGCATCCGACATCAAAATCTGGGACACCACAACAGACGGCTATATCTACAGCTCCGAAATCAACGCCCCCATCAGTGAATTCCTCAACCGCGAGGTGGCGCTGGTCTACAAGGGCCCGACCCCGCGCATCCTGCAGGGCAACGGGGCGCCGCGCCTGCTGGGCCGCGAGCAAGCCACGAACTTCCCGGACGTGCATCCCGTGCTGATCGCGTCGGAGGCATCGTTGGATGAGTTGAATGAGCGGCTGCTGCGGCAGGGTGAGAAGGCGATCACGGTAGAGCGGTTCCGGCCGAATGTGGTGGTGCGCGGGCGGGTGGCGTGGGAGGAGGATACGTGGAAGACGGTGCGGGTTGTGGATTCTTCTTCTTGTGCTTCTGCGGGTGGTGAGAGGGGTGGTGAGGGTAAGGCGGCTGGGAAGGGCAACGGGAAAGGCTTGGAGCTGGATATCGTGGCGCGCTGTGCGCGGTGTCAAGTCCCCAACGTCGAGCCGACCTCGGCGGAGAAACATAAGAAGCAGCCTTGGGATACGTTGATGGCGTATCGCAGGGTCGATGAGGGGATGAAGTATAAGCCGTGCTTTGGGATGTTGAGCGCGCCTCGGCATGAGGGGGAGATTGCGGTGGGGATGCGGTTGGAGGTGTTGGAGGAGACGGCGGAGCATCGGTATATTGCTGGATTTTAGGCGCTAGGGGAGTGTAGGAGGTAGGAGGTTCTCTATTGAGGGAGGGGGAGGTTGAAGGGGGTTAACATAGAAAAAGGGAGGGGAGAAGTGAGGGTGAATTTGTGAGGCTATATAAAACTGTATTGTCTTGCAGTGGAGGGAAAAAGGTGAGTGAGTGACTTCAGGTAGAAGGGGTAATAGCTAAGGAAGTTGAGTTTGTATATATCAAGTATCTATTTGTAATATGGCTTTGGATGAGGATTATCCGGTTTGGACGCATAGCTCCCCTGACAGCTACCGTCATACTACGGCCACTGTCTCTCGAAATGGGCTCCGATCCATATACCCGTACAGAGAATGCCAACTCACCCTAGCCAGTGTTTCTCTAGAGTTTTGGTAGCTACTCAATCAGTACGAGGGAAGAGGATCTGCCTTGGATGTACAAGGCACAGAGCAGACACCGATGTTAATTTTAGTCATTAAAATTCGACATTATGAAAGCTATCTTACTTCCGACAAGACCAGCAAGCAGGAGGTTGGAGAAAGAATCCCGAAATCAGCGATCATCAGAAGATAAGCAAATTCAGACCAGATAGTAACGTATCATCCAGGTCAAGATCCTGCTCCTTCTCGTTGCCTCATTCCTGCCTAAATAGATATTTGCGTGTCTCGCAAGAAGACATGAGCGAGTGGTGTGTCCACCCCAGATAGCAAGAAAAGTGAATGTTCTGGTTTCCAGCACCAGTGCAGTTCCAGGAACTGTGGGAAAGAAAAGCTCAGTTGTCCATATGCAAGCTGGTCGGTGCATATGGAAGTAAAGACCAGCCTTGCTCTCTGCTGACTCTGAGACCACTCTGGAGATTGTTCAGAGCAGTGATCAGATGGAAAATGCAGGAGAGTTTGGGGGCGCTGGTGGCGGGGGTGTTGGAGGAGGTGTTGGAGGAAGCACCGGTGATTGTGGTGGTGTAAGAGGAGGAGTGGGAAGTTGTATAGGCCGTGGATTTGACATTTTGGGTTTGGTTTTGCTTCTGTGTATTAGTGTTCAGTGTTGGAGGCTCGCTGGCTTAAGACTTTGGAGATGTTCGTAGGACGAAGCTCTGAATCCTCTGGGGGAATGGGGAAGTTCAAGAGATAGCGAGCTCAAGAGAAGGATGCCAAAATATAGAAGATCTTGTAGGGCAGAACTCCGCAGACGATATCTGCGTTTTTGAAATGCTCTGGCAGACTATTGAAAGAAGGAACGCTTCATTGTCCCTCTTTTTCTGCTGACAGCTTGCTCCCACTGTGTTTTGGCCGTTCTTTGAAGACCGCTGGTCCTGTAGTTCTAGGGAGATCTCTGCGTCTCCGGGCGAGGATTGTGATCATGATAATGTGCTTTGGAATGAATTTCTTTGTCACAAAGCTGAACCTGGGTGTAGGACAAAGGCCTGTATAAAGGACTTGTATGCGGGTATACTGGACATGATGTCGCAGGTTGGGACATATGTCCTTTCAACAATAAGTATTGTCTTTCACGGTGTGTCTCAGCGGAACCAGAAAATGAGCGGGGTTTGTGACTGGCCTTGTGACTGGCCTGTCATTTCTTTGTTCAAAGCTACAAGCTGGGTCTTGCCAGCAACTTTGTTCTTTGACGATATGACCATTCATGCTGAAAGACCTTTTGAACATTGTCGACTTGCGAATCCTGCCCTTCCTGCAAGCTGTTATGTGCGCCGCCTGATTCGTAGAGGCTGCATGATCTTAAGGCAGGTTGCCAACAGCAAAAGAAACATGGCTCCGAGTGTTGAGACCATATGTTGTCATCCGCTTTCCGTTGGAAAGCTGCATGCGATCCGTGACGATGAGGACTCGAATGGCTCAACCCTCCATCGGAAAATGCAAAACACTGGCGCTTCTTTGGCGTTGACCAATGGAGCAAGAAATTTGTTGACGTAGATGTAGATAATTCAAGAGCAAACGGTTTCGGTATAATGTCATAGGGGCTTCGTGAATGCAGACCCTGCACATGCAAGACGAGAATGAAGCGGACGTCCATTCTCTGAGGCATAAAAACCGGTATGTCCTCAGCTCAGAAATTCAGGCGATTCTGCGTTGCCTTGCTCATAGCGCAAAGAGAACATGTAACGCGCAATGATTTGAACGTGTTGGATTCCACTGAGGGAAATCATGGGCTTCGTTGGAGTCTCTGGCTGCGGCGCTACTTCCGCCGTCAGTCTAGCCACCACCCCATCATCACCCACTTTCACACCAGAATATCGCCTCTCATCGACTTGATTGACCGTCTCCAGTGAATACTTTGTCTTTTGGACATTTCATGGATTCTGACTCCAATCAGGCCCACATCACACCGGTCTCGACCTCACGCAGAAGAGATCACAATCCACCAACATCACCACACCAACCTCGCTGACACCTCCACATCAAACAGCTCCAATTTTTGTATGAGCAATTTTTGCAAGCCTCTCAAGTTATCGCGATCGAAGGACTTTGAGTTGAACAATAACAGGGCGTCCTAAAATTGAGACACCAGAGCTTCGACATAAGCTTCTCACCTCCGCCAGCCCGTTAGCCGCCACGCGTCCGCCACTGAGCCTGCGCAGGGAGCGGGACCTTGGCCTCGGTGGATACACCCATGCAGCCAGGCCTTCGAGAACCTTGCCTTTCCCCCTCGGTCCAGAACAGTGTCCCTGGCTCCGGCAACCCGACCTCACCCGTTAAAGCTCAACCTCTCGGGGCTGAAGCTCCTTTTAGTTGCAGATCCGGCTGCAGATCAGGTCCATATATTGGCTGACTGGTGGATCTCGGAGATCACGCTCATCCGTTATACCTGCCATTATAGGGAGCAGTCTTCGATGCGGTAAGACCTCAGACGCTAGGATCATCTCAAAGTGTTAGCCAGAAAGAAAAAAAAAGATAAATCATACCGCATGTTTAGGCAAGTTGAAAATAGCCAAGTTGCTGCCGGTGCAACCGTCAGTGACAGTTGGTACTTTGCCCCGGGGGAGGATCTCCCGGGCGCCGTCCAATAGTGCTGGGTAAACCGCTTGGCGATATTGGATACTGCCCGTGCGGTACTACCAAGCATTTCTTGAGTCGGCGTAAAATCATACTTCGGATTGCCACTCCCGATTCCCTGATCTGCAATTCGCACCTGCACACCACTCAGCTCACCATGTGCGCATCCTGGTATGGAATGTTGGCGTCAAACGTTGCAACAAGTGTTTTGGGCTGGCATAAGGCTATCGAGACGTCTCATCGTATACACGGGTCTCGTAAAATTCGGGAATATTGCTACTCCGAAATACAAAGAGATATCGGCCACTGGTTGCGCTGGGCCATGAATTCATCGTGTCTCAACTCACTGGATGCTGGCCACGACACTTTGTGCTATGTTGAAAACACCTCATATGTGAACTTCGAGTGTTGGCTTCCATCAGAGCTCCCATATTCTGATTATAGCCAGGTTTCACTTATTGAATTGGCATCTATTCGCATGCCCGTGGTCGGACATGGCGGGTGGCCACGTCAACACACAAACATATCCCCAGAATACTTGGAGTAGGATTTCAAATTCTACTTTAGTTATCGATCCCTGAAATTTAGCTTCGCCATAGCGAAAAAAAAAGGGACCACAAGCTCAGTCAGGGCCCTGCAGGTTGGTGGAGTCAACCGCAGTGTGCCACCCAGGGGTTCGCTGCGAGTGGAGCGGAAGCCCAAAGCTAATGAGTGAGCCTGCCCGATAACACGCATGGAACGAGTGATCATGCAAGGGGCCTACGACCGTCGTCATACAGCTCTTGTAGTGGATAGACACTAGTATCCCATTCACATGTATCCACCACTGTGTCAAGACCCAACGGGCCAGTCGGGGCAGGTTCGGCAACTGGGGAAGTCAGAGGGCACCGAGGGGAGCCCCAGAAAACCAGTCAACTGCACAGCAAGGGCCACATACCAGGGAGATCCGCTGTGAGGACGCGCGTTGCCTGCTCCAAACCAGGAGATTACCCACTGATCTGCTTCAACCAGTCTGAAGCACTGTGCTCTCTCATACTTCTATCAGATTATTTATTACCCTGACCGTTCTCATTGAGCCATGGCTGAGGTTATTCTGCACAGCATCTTTCTCTTCGTACTGTCTTCGATTGTCTGTGGTCATCATGCCGGAGGACCCTCAAAGCAACCTCGAGTACTCTCATGTTTTGAAGCTAGAGTCCAGCCTTGAGAGCGCCGACACAATTTTCGGTGAAAAGCAAGCCATTCACGTGGAAACCGAGGCGATCTACTCAGTTGATAGTAGCGATTGTTCTCAAGATGGGGGTGAAGACTACGTTTATTGGGATGGACCTAACGACCCTCAGAATCCTATGAACTGGGCAAGTTGGCGGAAATGGGTCATCATAGGATTGATCTCCGCGAGCAGTTTCAACGTGTAAGTCTCTACCCTGCCATGCAGCCTATGGACAAACACGACTGACACTATCCAGCTCGATGGTCTCCACGGTATTTTCGCCCGGTGTGCCAGACGTGCTGAAAGAGTTTCACATCAGCAGCTCCTCAATTCAGTCCCTCTTGACCACGATCTATGTCATGGGGGCTGCAATTGGCCCCATCATTCTGACGCCCATCACTGAGATGACCGGGAGACTGCCTATGACACACACGGCAAACGTTCTTTTCACCGTGGCGGCTGCAGTCTGCGCAGCTAGTGTGAACACGCCCATGCTTATCGTGTCGCGTCTGATCATGGGCGTCGCAAGTTCGGTGCCTGTGACTGTCGGCGGAGGGTTCGTTGCCGATATGATGCCGATGGAGAAACGTGGAACAGCGATGACGATATGGACAGTGGGACCACTTATGGTATGCAACCACTTTAACAACGATAGATGCCAAAGGCTAATCTTGATCATAGGGGATGGTGACCGGCCCTATCTATGGTGGTTACATGGTTCAGAATATTGGATGGAGATGGACAATCTGGCTGGAAGTCATCTTGGTGAGTCGATCCGATTCGATCCCAGAGGTCGTATCTAACAAGCCCAGGGTGCGGTCATCGCAATTGCCTCATTAATCCTACTTCGCGAGACATACGCTCCTACGATTCTGCAGCGGAAGGCGATGAAGCTGCACAAAGAGACCGGCCGTCCTTACAAGACGAAGTACGACACCGACAAGACTGCTGGACAGCTTATCTGGGTCTCATTGACACGGCCAATCAAATTCCTCGTGCTGTCGCCTATCGTGTTGATCGTGACACTGTACAGCTCCGTCACCTACAGCTACATGTACATTCTCTTTACGACATTCACCGAGGTGTTCGAAAACGTCTACGGCTTCGGTCCCGGCGAAGCCGGACTCGCGTATCTGGGACTGGGGCTAGGCTTCTGCTTCGGGCAGGTGACGGTCGGATATTACTCCGACCGCTATCTCAAGAAGCAGGAGAAGCTCCACGGGAAGATGAAGCCCGAGGACCGCCTCCCGCCCCTCGTGCTGGGATGCTGTCTGGTCCCGATCGGTCTGTTTTGGTACGGCTGGACCGCCGAGTACCGACTGCACTACATGGTCCCGATTGTCGGGACCTTCTTCGTGGGCGCGGGAATCTACTACGTCCACCTGGTGACGCAGGTGTATCTGATCGACTCGTATACGCTGTATGCCGCCAGCGCGGTGTCCGCGGAGCTCGCGCTGCGCTCGATCTTCGGGGCGACGATCCCGCTGGGCGGGGGTCCGCTGTATGACAAGCTCGGCCTGGGCTGGGGCAACAGCGTGCTGGCGTTCATCGCTGTCGCGTTTGCACCCACCTCTCTGTTCTTGCTGAAGTACGGGGAGAGGATTCGGACAAATCCCAAGTTCCAGCCCCGGATGACATGAGTGCGTTTTTTTCCTCTCTGGTTAGCATAGCGATGATTTACACAGGTGCTACACAGGTACTTGTTAAAGGGTAGGGGCGCTGCCCTGCATTTACTGTACATATTCCAGTCTAGACTTGATTGTATTGGAGTCACAAACCAAGCGACGATGATCCCAGCAAATAACTCACCTGTCACATTCTATTGCGCTGTATTGTTTGATGATAGTGTGGCTGCATGACAGCCAACAACAAGATGAAACGTCCCCCTTTCCTTGGCAGGGACATACCCCAGTCAGTGCACCGGATAAGCAGGTATTTGGTTTACTGGGCGAAGCTCATTAGTGCTGACCTACTGTTCCAGCATTGCACTTCATGTCATTGAATTCCGGCCCGCACATCTATTCTCGGAGCAGCCGCCGGACCGATTGGATAGTCTGACAGCTTTCATGGCTGTGCAGAGCTGTACAGTACAGTAAGTACATGCATGCATTACCTATGCTTACATGCAGCACAAGTGTATCTGGGCAAGATTTTACTTGGTATCGATAACGAAGAAACGATGATAATTTAAGGATCACTGCAAATCTTTTCAATGATAATCCCCACATTTACTTTCTCTTACCGTGTAAGCTGAGAAAATTTTATATGTTAGACATGCCAAGAGCCAGAACTTAGTCATATCCAGGGCCGGAGCAACTGAATCTCCATTACCCTAGCCGGACGGAGATTACATTCGATATAAACTTTAGATCTTAACAATAGTTATCAAGCTATGCTCAAACTAGCCTCTCGAAACAACACCACCACCTACCTTACTATAAGACACAGTAAACGAATCCTTACCTCACCAAATCTCCATCTGCTCCTCCGACAGCCTCGGCCTCGTCGCCTCCCATACAGTCCGCCGGTTTAAATACCACCGCCACTTCTTGGGCGCGTACTGCTCGACAAACAGCCACGAGAGATTCGGCACATCCTCTGTCGAGTCGTCGGGCTCCTCGTGCTGGATAACACCGTGATAAAGCTCCGGGAGCTCGCGGAGGTCGTGCGGGATGTGGAAGTGGGATTTCTGGGCGGGTTGGTAGCGGACGAATTTGCCTGTGGTTGTGAGTCTTGAGGGGATTGTGGGGAAGGTGGAGGGGTGGAGGGAGGTGAAGATCTGGACGATGGGGGGGCATTTGAGGAGGCCGTGGATTGGTGCGGGGTGGCCTTGCGAGGAGGGGGAATGGGGGTACTGGCGGTGTTGCTCGAAACCACACCATTGTAGCATGTTGGCGATGGCTTTGTCCCAGTCTAGGTCGCTGACGGGGCAGGTGTAGATGTGGGTGAGGAATCGCGCGCCCTGGATGGTGACGGTGTGCATGTCGTCGGGGAAGTTGAGGACCGTAGTGCCGGTGTAGGTGTGGGCGATTGGGGCGCTCCAGTCTTCTGGGTTGAATCCAGGAGACGGTGGTGCTGGGTCTGCTGGTGCAGACTCTGATTTGGATGGAGGTGTACTTTCCACCGGAGAACTGTCTGAGCTCGACGTTGCCTCGGACACTGAGTGTGCTGTCGATGGAACAGATGCCTGGGATGCAGCGCTGGATGATGCCTCTGTGTTGTTTGGCTCGACAGAAGGAATCCTCGGCTCGTCAGTTGCGTGCTTGGATGGTTCCATGTGATTGCTGGAGTTGGAAGTCAGAAGATTTCAGGGTACGTGAGAGGTGAATGATGGAGAATGTTTGGCAAACAAAGGAGATGTATACCTGACAACATGGCTGATATACGATCATATGTAACTTGTGCCAAACAGCAAGTAAGACATGATGACGGAGAGAGCTGTTTTATACACCTGAAGGCCTCTTTGTCTCTGCCTTGGGTCTATCCTGTGGAAGGATTCACTTCTTTGTGAGCTGCGTGGTGATTCTCGCTACACCTTTCATGGTGGTTTCCACTCCAACAATAGTTGGATGTTGATAAGACATCGCATGAATGATATTAAGTCGGGTAAGTTAGGCAGGCAGGTTGGATAAGTTGCGGATAAGGCTGGATCCTGTGAGATGCTAAGCGTTGGTGCCTGGGGCTTGGGCGCGGGGGGTTGCCGCCAACACCTGATCCAGCCTCCAATTGGGATTTCATCCAGTTCTGCAGCCAACAACCGTCGATCAAACAGCATCATGCACTTCCAATATACCGAAACAGGATATCGAGGGCCTTGGCTTTGACCCGATACATTGCTTATCTTTGAGACTTGTCTCAGGAGGCACCTACCACTGCATAGCACCTTTGGCGCGAAGCACAGCCCTCTTGTGTGATGATGTCGCACCGGCTGCATCGCCCCCACATAAGACGGCGAGGTTCATCTTGGTTTGAGTTGTAGAGACTCCTACCAGGAGCAGAAACTCTGAGTGGGAGATAGTGTTCGTTTGTCGATATTAAGCTGCTTTGCCCCGCACCTCTCAGTCTCCAAGCATGTGTGTATCTCTTGCTATACCAGCAGCGCTTCCAAGATCATCATGTCAACCGCATTCGTACTTACAGGCCTTCAGGATGCCAAAGTATCGAGGCCCGTCTTCATGGTTTGTAGCCTTCCTGCTAGCTTCGAAACTCATACATCTGACAGCATCGCTAGGGAGTCCTATGGACCTTCACCGCATCCTCGACGATCTTCGTCGTCGCTCGCATCGTCATCCGCCTGAAAACCTTTCGACGGCTCTTCGTCGACGACTTCTTCGTGCTCCTGGCCTGGATACTTTCTGTTATCACCGGCATCGTCTGGCGGATCGAATCCCCAGTGCTCTATGAGATGTATGCGCTCAGCGCCGGCAAAACGCCCTTGACGCCGGGCGTCGTCCCTCGATTGAATGCGCTGATGCGATTCGAAGCCCCATTCATGTTTCTCTTCTACACCACCCTCTGGTGTGTCAAGTTCTCTTTCCTGACTTTCTTTTACAAGCTGGGATCCAAAATCCAGACCCATCGCAGATGGTGGTGGGTTGTCTCCGTCATCACCCTGGCGGTCTGGGTGATTTCAGTCGGAGACATTGACTACCAATGTAGCCTGGGAGGCGTGGAGTTTATCTTCGGTGAGATCCATATTCTCCCCGGCCTTTTCATCTTCACTAACATGAGGGATAAGATCAATGTAACAAGCCCTACCACATCCGCTGGCAGAACGGGACCTTCTGGGCCAACTGCGCCGGCGACGTGATCACCGATCTTCTTAGTGAGCAGACCTTCTAATAAACCTACACTTCCTTTCTCAATCCGCTAACAGACACAGTCCTCTCAATTCCCATCCTCATCGTCTGGAATGTCCGGATCTCCCTAACGAAGAAACTGATCCTCCTCGGCATTTTCGCCGCGAGCATGGTCATCGTGGCCGTGGCCATTATCCGCGTCTTCACTAACCATGCTCTCGACCACAATATGGATATGACCTGGCTGTGGATGTGGAGTTTCATTGAGATGGGCACCGGTAGGTCTCTGTCGCCGCATGGCTTATGTCCATGTATTCCTGGGGCATGTGGTGCAGTACTGACCATGTATCAGCGATCATGATCTCCTGCGTCGCCTCCTTCCGCCAGCTCTTCGTCACCTCCCAGAACCAGCACCTCTACGGTCACTCGGCTTATCACCCGGGCAATCCCCTGCTCTCAGCCATGCGGCTACGGCAGACCAGATCTCAGGCTGCCAGCAATAAAAGCTGGCGCGGGTACGATAGCGGCTCCCACAAGAGCGAGATGGCTTTCGTGGCGGTGGACCAGGTGCATTCTCGGGAGCAGGGCGAGGCCGCCAGCATCCGAACGGAGAGTGATGCAGGTAGAGGGCGGTTTATTGAGCATGTGGCTGTATAGCCTGCCATTGCTGCTGGGGCTTGGAGCTTGGGTGCTGGCTTCGTAAGGTATGATATGTAGTATGACGTATGAGCTGAATGTGATTTAATGTTAGGCTTGATGGTTGAGGGCCTGCTGTCTTTACATATGGGGCATTTCGCGGTGTGGACTGCCTTGGCTCATTTCATTTCAATTGGAGAGCTTATAGATGTGATTTTTGCTGTATGCTTCATTCTCTTTGGCTCATTTTTTAAGTGGTGAGAATAACAAGACCCCGCTGATAGGAGTCAATATCAAGGCAGGTAGAAAACACCACTCAACGAACAAGAACCCCCACCTACCTCAACAAAACAAGTCCACACAGCCTACGCCAATCCTCAACCCCACCACGAAACTCAACACCAGCTCCGCCCTCCCTCTACCCTTGTATATAATTACCCACAAAGCCCACAAGCCAAGCTACGACGCCAATCCCAAACCCAACCACCGACCCTCAAGCCCAAGCGCAGCAAAGCACAGCGCACCAGAGCAGCACCTGAGACCTAGATGCAAAAACAATCACGAAAATCCACACTTAAGGCTGAAACAAGGAGCGTGTTACTCTCAACGCGACGCGCCCACCCACCAATTATTTACAGTGCGTCCTCCGTCGAGGTGTCAACCGATCACGAAAAGCCACTTTTAGGGCTGTCCCAGTTTTGATCAGAGTCTGGGACGCGTTGGCAGGGGTCTGAAGTGACGAGAGCCAATCACAGCGTCTGCGCTGGCGAGATGTCAGCTGATCACGAAAAGCCACTTTTAGGGCTGAGGCTTCGCTTGGACGTGTTGGTTGGGACGCGGTGAGACATTGGTAGGGGTGCCATGTGGGGATGGTGGGATCTTATCTGATTGTGTTTCTTGAGTGGTTTGGGTGGATGGTGTTGAGAGTCTGGGGTTGGTGGTGGTGGTGGTGGTGAGGTGAGGTTGCGTTGCTGTATATCGATCTCAATCTTGGGATTGGCCCATCTTCTGGGTGGCAGTGTAGATCGACGCCACTGCAGTCTAAGATTGTTTCCCACTGGTATGGTAGCGTAAGCGGACTAAGATATAAGGCTATGGACTTGATACCTTGCACTTGGAATCCCATCACCCGAGGCGTCTATCGCAGATAGCGCGGCCACCAGTCTACAGTGATTTTTTGGTAACACTTTTACAAAGACAAGCTCACCATCCGATCCATAGCCCAAGAGTCACAGAAGTACCCTAGACGAAGAAATGCATATTTGGCCCGGAAGGGAGGGTTTCTCCAATGCAGACCCATGGGTCATGTGAGTCCAAGGAACACCCTCGCTAGATCCCAGTAGCCAACGTCATAAATGTCACACACTGTGAACAAGTGCCATAGTCCTTCTTGTGGCAGAGCATACTAAAAGCCTGGTATAACCCGGAACCGCGGACCCAAGCCCGTTAGCATGAATAAATACCCTCGGTGATTCGCAATTCCCACCGATTCCTGGAAAAGCTGCAGACAGCCTTGTCATCTCAGCTTTCAGTTTGTAGCTAGAATGAGAAGATGCCTGGTTTGTGTTGTAGATGGGTACTCTGTTATTCCACTAATCGTGATTTATGTTCAAGATGGCTGCCAGCGGGTGTTGCTAGTGTGAACGGCGTGGTGACTGGTAAGAGATTGTTGCTCCATCCCGTCCGCTAGGGGATCACAAGGGGAAGCTCTTATTTTGATGAGGAAGTTACCTTCATCCCCTCTAGCTTGCTATCTTGACTGAGTCACGAGGTCCTCTCCGGGACGTGGAAATGGTCGAAGGTTATCAAATGCTGGAGCAAGGTAGGTGTTACTTTCTTCCTCGCGGTGGGTCTGCTGTGGTATCGCCATGTAATTCTCTTTTAGACTGATTAGGGAGCCTAATTTCGAGCTCATGACTTCAAAGAGCCAATCTATGATTACTGTGGCATAGTATCCCAACTTGACCAAAGTGCCTGTTACCTGTTTGGCCTCATCAAACAGTAGTTGCAGCTCCTTATACTCCTACCGATGCCCATTTAGGACAAACACACTGCAGAATGGCCGGACTGTCAAAATCTCCTGAGTAACACAGTAGGATAACAGTATTCATGATGTGAGTGAATGGTATGACTTGGGTTCATGAAACGATGGGCAGCCCCCCAGCCCCGCGCGCCGTTTGCTCTTTATTCACCAGCCTACAAAAACAACAACCCTCCTATTCCTCTCCCCGCAACTGTCTCTTCTCTTTTCTCTTCGACTGTCTTCATCCTTTATCGCTCAGCTTTCTCATCAACGCTATCTCATCAAATCTTCTATCCTACTCCTTCAACTTCATTCCTCTGTCCTTCAGCTGCTCATCTCGGAAGTCAGCCACACCAGTACACACTTACTCCTTGCAAGCACTTTGCACACGAAGACAAAGTGGAACTCAGACCTAAACATCCCATCAAGAGGCACTGAGCCACATTGCTATGTCTGACCTCAATTTTTACATTGACAATCTTTCTCGTTCGCTCATTGCAAAGGCCTCATCGGCAGGTCGGCCATCGTCAGCCACAGAGCAGAGGGCTGCATCGGTGACCTTGGACACGGAATCGCCAACAGATCAGTACCTCACCACAACTCACCTGACCCAACTGCTGAACCCTCTTTTCGACTCGCGTGATCATGTCTCGGTGCTGGAGATTCGACCCGGCCCGAAGAGCATCCTCCACTATCTCTCTCCCCGTCTGAGACGGAAGGTCTGCAGATACACTGCAATCGAACCGGAAGATTCGTCCGCTAAAAAATTAGAAGAATGGCTTCAGTCCACACCCGAGACGGAATCTCCGCTACCTTGCCTCGAAAGCCCGCCCAACATCCGTCGAAATTCCCTTGACATGGCTTTCCCTACATTGACCGGTGCCATGCCGGTTGCATATGATGGCAAGGAGAGGTTTGACATCATCTTTTTCTCTCATGGGACACACTCCGTGCTTCGATTTGCGTCCATGCAATGGACATTGCAAATGCTCACGAAGCGGCCTGAGGGTGGAATGGTGGTGATGATCCATGACGGTACGCTGCCTATGTATGTGACCGGACTGGTGTGCCACAGAACAGCTGCTCTCCCTGCCAGAACTTTCCGCGTGGTAAATGACGATGCAGTGCTGGATAGCCTTGACTCTTTCAGATCGTTCTCCCTCTCGAACAGGTGGCGGAGTTTCTGCCGCAGCGTGGGCCGGTGTGAGAAAGACGACTCGGATTATCTACTGATCGATATGCCGACAATTATGACGGTCTTTCAAAAGCATGCAAACTCGTTTGGTGAGCTGACAAGGCTCGTGCCCATGCTGAACGAACCATTGAAGGATCGAGTGGCCCGCCTCAATCATTCTCCCTTGATTGTTAAACCACGGAACATCCAACATGTGCAGCATTGCGTTAGATGGGCTTTGAAGCACGGGGCTGGTCTGACTGTCATTGGCGGGGGCCACAGTAGCCACTGTACACGGCCCCACGTCGCCTCAGTCGACATGAGCGAATTTGACGAAGTACATATTGTCCCGGTTGAGGCGGGCACTGGAGATCCGAATCCTGATTCTGGGTCTGTGGTAGTCGCTGGGGCGGGCTGCAAGACGGGCGATATCATCGAGAAGACTATGAAGGCGGGCTTGACAGTGCCCTTGGGGTCACGACCGAGCGTAGGAGCGGGACTGTGGCTGCAAGGCGGCATCGGGCATCTGGCTCGGCTTTACGGGCTTGCATGCGATGCCATTGTCGGCGCTGTACTGGTCAGCGTTGACTCAAGCCAGGTACTCTGCATAGGCGATGTGCCAACTCAGCACAGGCCTGCTGGTGCTGTCCGCCCGAGAAACGAATCCGATCTACTGTGGGCGATAAAAGGCGCCGGAACCAATATTGGCATTATAGTCAGCGTCACTTTCAAGGCTTTCGTGGCTCCGACCTATTCGGTGCGAAACTGGGCCATCCCGTTGAATGACCGTGTTGAGGCGCGACAAAAGCTCGTCGAGTTTGATCAGTTTGCGAGCAAACTTCCTCGTAACTGTTCTACAGATGCGTATCTGTACTTGGACATGGACCAGCTGCATCTTGGCGTGACCATGTTTGAGGCTTGTAACACTGATCCTACGCATGAACTACCATATCCCACGCCGAACTGCACATTCCTAGGGTCTGAACATGATATCAAAGACGTCGACAGTGTCGGGCTGTTTGACGCCGACATGTATATGACCAAGATTAATGGTGGACACCGCAGCGGCAAGACTTATTCCTTTAAGCGGTGTTTGTTCTTGAAGCAAGTTGGACAAGCAGATGTGGCTGACATCTTGCTGACGGCCATGGAGACCCGTCCCACACCACTCTGCTATGTCCAGCTGTTGCAAGGTGGCGGAGTTGTCAATGATGTGGCGGCTGATGCCACTGCTTTTGTCTGTCGAGATTGGGACTTTGCATGCATGATAAGTGGTGCCTGGCCCCGCGAAGATGAAATCAAAGTTGCCGGGGCTGTCGAGAGATGGGTATACAACGTCGCGAAAGAGTTGTTGCCCTTGAGTAGCGGTTCTTACAGCACAGACCTGGGACCAGACCCTAGGGACTCCGCGCTGGCAGCTAAGGCCTTTGGTTTGAACCGGCTGCGTCTGGCCCATATCAAGCACAGCTCCGACCCGCACAACGTTTTGGCCTACGCTTGCCCACTTCCAAAAGCACCTCAGCATAAGCTCATCATTCTGATCACGGGCGAAAGCTGCGCCGGGAAAGACTATTGCGCCAGGATCTGGGCCTCTGTATTCACCCACGGAAGCTTCACGGTGCGCACAGTGAGCATTAGCGATGCGACGAAGCGAGCATATGCCGCAGCTACCGGCGCAGATCTAAACCTGCTTCTGTCAGATCGTGCTTACAAAGAACAGCACCGGTCAGCATTGACAGCATTCTTCCGGGGTCAAGCGCGGGTTCGACCTCAGCTGCCAGAAGAGCATTTTCTGGGTGTGGTGTACGGGGCAGTAGACGTGGACGTGTTGCTGATCACCGGAATGAGAGATCAGGCGCCGGTCGCAGCCTTATCGCATTTGGTGCCAGATACTAGACTAATCGATGTGCGCGTCCAAGCTAGCGAAGAGACACGGCAGGCTCGTCGAGGGTGCCAGGGCCGTCAGCAAGAACGCGAGGACAAGACAGACAGCGGTGAGGGCACGTCGAATTCAGACGCTGTAAACTATTGCCCCAATCTCATTTTCGAGAACGACACCACCGGAGATGAAGCAGTGAGAGTATATGGCGAGCAACACCTGCTTTCCCTCGTCGATGAGAACCTGCAGCGACTAGCAAACATGGTCCGCAAAGTACACGACTTTCCACGCCCGGCCATTGACTTCCGCCATGTGCTTGGAATCTCGCAGCAGCCGGGTGGAATTGCGTTGTGTACATCCCTTCTACAATCATATTTCACCGGTGACTGGGCGAAAGTTGGTGCGATAGCGTGTTGCGAAGCCGGTGGCTTTGTGTATGGGTCGGCGCTGGCCATGCAAGTCGACGTACCTTTGGCACTGATTCGCGAAGGTGGAAAGCTCCCCCCACCGACTGTTTCTGTCCCCAAATCTACTTCGTATATCTCGTCTATGGCGCCTAGTGACTCGCCTAATGGCTCGAGTGAGAAGCGGCTCGAGATAGAGCAGGGTTTGATCCCCGGAGGTGCGTCGGTGGTAGTGGTAGATGATGTGCTTGCCACAGGGAGGACACTTTGTGTGGTGCTGGACCTTTTGGTCGAAGCCGGCATACGTGCTGAGGATGTGAGGATCATGGTTGTGGCAGAGTTCCCAGTTCACCGAGGCCGGGAGTTGTTGCGCCAGCGTGGTTTTGGTAATGTCAACATCCAAAGCCTTTTGGTTTTTGATGGTGCTTAGAAGGGAGAAGCTTTAGATGTTGGGCTTTGATTGTACTTGTGTCGATGTAGTCTTCCATGGCTAGTATGTGTTTTGGTATGCAGGTGGTGGGAGTTTGATATGTAGTTATCATGATTGATATTCGGCACGAGTCGAGGAGGTCACTTCAGGAAGGTGCTAGTGGTGTTGTTTTCTTTTCTTGCGAATACAGAATGAACAATTTACTTCCCAGCTCTTCAACCAAGAGACATGACATGGAACAAGCTTTCCTTTCGTTTCTGTATCTCCCAAATCAACAAAATCAGTGTCCCGGGGTGGGTGGAAGTACAGCCTGTACCGTGCCTAAACAATTCATAGCTCACATAATACTGTACTCAACCAAATCAACCAAACGGAGAAGCCATCCCTCCCAACCCTCAGACCCGAGAGACGAGGATGAAGTAGTTCGTGGATCTGAAAAGCACGGACCTCATCATATATCATCCTGCAGTACACTACAGCAAGTACATGTAAGTTTGCTTCCACTGCATTGCATTGCAGCAACCACGCAACCTTCCCTATGCCTCTGCCCCTGCCCCTGCAAAACAACCAAAGCTTGCACTTCTCTCTCATATCGGTGTTATCATCTATCTCAACCCAAGCAAAGCTTGTTCCAGCATGAGAGCAAGCCACATGCCACCCTCGCGAAGCCGGCATTCCAACCTGTCTGTCTGTCTGGCTGAACCCTCGCCCATTTACTTCCACATCAACCAGCACAACACCCTCATGGATATAGAAACATATCAACCCAATCATCCAAAATAAAACAAAAAGAACCAAAATCCCCCAAGACCCTCATCGACCAACTACCACCCATCCGCTCAAAAAGAAAAACCCAAAGCACAACATCATCCCCAAGGGTTTGTTCCCCCCCCCCCTCAAGAATGTAAGACACGCCCCATCCATATCATCCCTTCCACCACCAACCACCACCACCCCTTCCTTCTACGAGTACACGCCCTTCAACGCGATACCCTCCAAGGATCGACACTCCGAAACATACCATACCTAGCAGCACCAGCACCGTAACATCCATAGCTACAGTACGGAGTACATATGTACAGTCCACATCGCCCTCGTAGGCTTCCCCCGACCTCCTTCTCTTTCCCGTGAGCCCATCCCATCCAACAACCACCGACAAACAACCCATCCCACAGGTACACCACCACCACCACCACCACCACACCATCCTTACCTTCTCTACCCCCGAAATCAAGAACTAACAATCATCACCAGCCTCCCGCCAAGAAAAATGAAATTCTCCATCGCGGTAGTCGCCTCCGTCCTCGTCGCCACGGGCGTGGCGATGCCGATTCCCGTGCGTTATATGCCCCTAACACCCACTCCTAACACTACGGTTGATCTACAAGCGCCAGTTCGCCCGGGAAGATACATTAGAAGATGCTGGTTACTGATACTAACACAACCCTACCACATCTAGTCCCCGAGCGAGGCTCCTAGCATGAACGGGGCGGATCTGATGAGCGCGCTTCAGAGCATAGGGGGGCTGGACGGGGTGTTGAAGAGTATCCAGATTTCTTCGCCGTTGACTTCGGCATTGGGGCAATAAATTGATGGATAGCATTGATCGGGTGTATGGTCGGTGGGATGTCTGAGGAAGGGGGGGTGGGGGGTACCAAGCATGAGCATAGATGGCGATGTGTCAATGAATGAATCATAAACTGAAGTGCTAGCATCAAAGTAGACATGTCATTCGTAAGGTTTGTTTGAGGAACTATTCGTGAAATAAGAATATCGTTCTTGTAAAAGTTAGGCCGTATCATACACACAGAGAATCAGTTTGCTTCGAGCCTGACCTCTGGTGTCAACAAAAAAAGCACTCGTTTTAATCATGCAATCATCAACCGAATTTCCATCGCTGTCGTGTCGAATCGTAATGAGCGTGACGAGGTCGTATAATAACAACAAACAAGAGACCAAATAACAACAAAAAAGAAGGAAGGGTATCAGTTTGTGTGTCATCCAAGAAGGGGGCGTTAATCTTCCATGTCCAAGTCGGTTACCTCCACGCGTGTAGCCAGCGCCTGGGTACCCTCGCGGATCAGCGCCTCGAGCTTCTTCTCCATCCTCCGCATGCTGGCGTTCCCCTCGCGTTCCATGCGACGCATCTCCGCCATATGGCGCTGCGTGTCCACGGACACTGGACTCTCTCGCGGCATGGCCGGCGAGGAGAAGTAGGGTTGACTCGGCAGCGACGGCGCATGCGACGTCAGCACCCGCTTGTTGTGGGGGCGGCCCCGACGTGAGGCGTGGTGGGCGGCGGTTGTCGTGCGGCGGGGAACCCGCCGGGGAGTGGTGCTGCGATTGGTGGCGAGCGAGGACGACGGGCTGGACGACTTGCCGGCTGAAACCATCACCCAGCTGCGCTGTAGATCATCCTCGTCGGGATACTCGCCGGGGAGAGGCGTGGATGGTCCCCGCTGACGCTGACGCTGACGGAACTGGGCGGTGGGAGTGGCCGGCAGGGATTCTTTCTCGCTGGCCGGGGAGGGGAACGAGGGCGAGAGAGCATCCTCCTCGCTGCTCATGTTGTATCCGCGACCGCCGCCGGCGTAGAACCCCCGAAACGCCCCGGACCAGCAGAAATCCCATACCTTTCCGACCACGCCCAGGACAGCCTTGCTCCAGCGGACGGGTGCGGCATCGGAGGGGTCCAGTGTGACGTTCAGAGGAATACCCTTTTCATCCGGGCCGGTGGGAGAGGCAGCGATCAGGGAAGGGTCCCGCCGACTGCGTTTGCGACGAAGACCGCCGGCCTCGCTGAGAGAGTCGATGCTGGCATCGAGAGGGAATGGATGGGCCGGCTCGCGATACCGGCTGGGTCGATAGTCGAGGTCGACGATACCATCGGCGCCGTGCGGGAGGTCGTCGGGGCCGATCAGCGACGGGACAGTAGGGCTAGAGGCGCCATCGATTTGCAGCCATGAAGAGCGTTGGTCGAGGTTGGGACGAGCCCTCTTGCGAGGCGGGACGGCGATAGAGCGATACAGCGCCGATGAAGCTGACGGCGAGGGAGGGACTTGGAAGAGCTGCGAAGGCGCCCCGGCCAGATCGAGATGAGGAGGAATGGGCGAATCCAGAGTGATCGAACCGGTGGGCATCCTTCTGGCGCAGCAATCACTTGTAGAGGATGTGCCGATCGAGATGAACCATAGAAAAATGAATCTGAGAGATAAAACAAAACAAAAGGGGTTGGCGATGTTGATGCAGATGCAAATGGGTGGAGTTGACGGGGAATGGAAAAGTGACAGAGAGAGAGAGGAAGTGAGGAGGAAGAAGAAGAAGAAAGGAAGGAAAAAAGAACGGGGAAACGGAGGTGAAAGAAAGTCACCCCAACAATACCTCATTTTTCCCCGTTTGATGTTGATGCTTTGCTTTCCGTTTACACCCCAACCTCCTCTTTACCTTGTTTTTCTGCTTTCTTCATGACTTCCCGATTAATCTTTCATTTACTGAACACACTACAAGAAATCGAGGAAGTAAATATGAGACTCAGATGGTTCATCACTACAGCTGACTCTTCCACTCTCTACCTGCAGCGCGCAAGCCATCCTCGCCATCGACCAAGACACACCAACCCTCCGAGCCTCGGCCTCCCGCGCCCACCACCGCCGCCGCAAAATGTCCCTCCAGATAGTCCAGCACGGCCTGGTCGTAAGTGCCGGGCTGCAGGAAGACAGCCGGGATGCCAACCGCATAAGCTTCGCGAAGGAGAGCGAGAGTCACGGCGGGGGGAGTCACCACCGACAGTGACGTCTCGGTCGGAGCGGGCAAGTCGCGCACCGAGGCAACCGTCGGTAGACTTGTCGAGTGCAGTTGGATGGAGGAAGCGCGCGGGTTGAGGGGCGTAACAGGGAGTGAATGGTGGTAGTACCACGCCAGAACTAATTGCGTCAGATATGGGTTCTTATCGAGCAGGATCGAGCATACTGCGATGGCCGAATTTGGCCGGGTCATTGCTCGCGCCAGCCACGGCGAAGCGCGGCGAGCTGAAGAACACTTTGACGGCTTCCATCGTAGCAGACATTGTGAATAGGCCGTAGTTGGTAGAGCCTTCAGTACAGAATGAAATCAAGTTTCAGATATTGTGAGGGATAATCTGATTGACGATGCGAAGGTGATAAGAACAGTCTGGGGAAGAAGTGGAGAAAGAGGAAAGCCGATGAGGGGAAATCATTTCCTCATCGTTTCTGCTCGTCGCTCTTTGTTCCGCCTTCGTTACATCTACAACACCACTCCTTCCCTTCCTTTACCATCCATTCAACTCCAATCCAACTCATACAATACACCCTTCTCTTCTCCGGCTAATCCTTCCAAGTAATCCCGATCAGTTGCGTGCATGCCCCCCTTCGTCTCGCGCAAGCGTGTCTCCGACGAGGATCCGCCCGCGCCCAAACGTCATAATGCGACGCCCGCCGTCGCCGCCGCCGCCGTACTCGACGACGACACCGACTCCTCCTCCAGCGACTCGTCATTAAGCGACGCCCCTGACGACTTACAAGACACTCCAAACCCAGGTACAACCAATGAAGATTCAGACGAGGACAGCGAGTCCGAGGAGGAGGTCGACTGGGAGGATGCGTTCGAGTCCGGCACCGCCAGCGCCAGCGCCAGCGCCGGGGCCGCCACGCCACTGACACCCTCGATCCTCGCTCCTCACCATCACCACCAACACCAGGACCTCGAATTGACCCTCGACAAGAACGAAGTCCACCTGGCCGACATCGTCGAGGGCAAGAAGGCCCCCTCCAAGATCGAGCGCCAGATCCGCATCACCACCCACTGCCTGCACGTGCGCTTCCTGCTCTACCACAACGCTCTGCGCAACGCCTGGGCCAACGACCCGAAACTCCACGAGATCCTCCGGCGGAAACTCCCACCTGCCCTGCACAAGGAAGTCAAGAAATGGCGTGTCTCGTCGGGGCTGGAGCTGCCAGAGCAGAAGCCGCCGGAAAAGAAACCAACCCGCAAGGGCAAGGGCAAGGGCAAGCAAAAACAGAGTCGTCCGTCTGAGCGGGACTGGACCGAGGGCTCCGAGCGGTTGGAGGCAGGACAGCCCGACATGAGTCGCGGGGACCCGATCATCCCACTGCTCAAGGTCCTGGCCGCCTACTGGAAGAAGCAGTTCACGATCACCGCGCCAGGCCTCCGCAAGCAGGGGTATCGACCGATGGCGCAGCTGGAAGCACAAATCGCCTCCCTCCGGAAAGACGACCACGATCCCGCCGTCCACGGGGAGCGGATTGCGGACCTCGACGAGTTCCGCCAGGCGGCCGAGCGCATGCAGGGCTCGCGCGATCTGGGCGCGCAGCTCTTCACGGCGCTGCTCCGCGCCCTCGGCATCGAAGCCCGACTGGTGGCCAGTCTGCAACCGCTGGGGTTTGGCTGGACCAAAGCCGAGACCTACACCCCCAAGCAGCAACCGACCAAGCCGGCCGACACCGAGCCGACGACCGACGCATCGACTGCAGCGGCCGATACGGACGAGGTCGTCGGCCTGGAATCCGACAGCAGCAGCGACGCCGAGACCAAACCGCCATCGCGCAGCAGCAACAGCAACCGCAACAGCAAAAACCCCAAGGGTTACGACAAAGACCTCCCATTCCCGATCTACTGGACCGAAGCGGCCTCGCCGATTACGCACGAGATCATCCCGGTAGACGCGCTCGTCCTCCCCAACGCCGTGGCCACCACCCCAGAGCTGCAGGCGGCCTTCGAACCGCGGGGCGCCAAAGCCGAGAAGGCCAAGCAAGTGATCTGCTACGTGATCGCGTATTCCTCCGACAAGACAGCCAAGGACGTGACGACGCGGTACCTCCGACGACGGACCTGGCCCGGCAAAACCAAAGGCTTCCGCATCCCCGTCGAGAAGATCACCATCCAGCCGCAAAACAAACGCAGCCGCACCGCAACCCCAACCGTAATCACCTACGACTGGTCGCGCGTCGTCCTGCGCATCTACGAACGCTCCCCGAAGCACGAGACAGCCCTCGACACCCTAGAAAACAGCACCACGCTCCTCCCCAACCAACCCGAACGCAAAAACCTTCCCACCAGTGACAAACCCGCCGACACCCTCCAAAGCCTACGCACCTCCCCCGAATTCGTGTTAGAACGCTTCCTCCGGCGCGAAGAAGCCCTCCAACCGGGGGCCCAACACGTCCGCACCTTCACATCCGGAAAAGGACCCAAAGCCAAAACCGAACTGGTCTACCGCCGCGCCGACGTCGTGAAATGCCAATCCGCGGAGAGCTGGCACAAGGAAGGCCGGCAGATCCTACCGGGCCAAACCCCTCTGAAACACGTGCCTATCCGCGCCGTCACCCTGCTCCGCAAGCGCGAGGTGGACGAGTACGAGCGCGAGACCGGTCAGAAGCCCAAGCAGGGACTGTACGCCAAGTACCAGACGGAGTATATCATCCCCCCGCCCATCGTCGACGGCGTCATCCCCAAGAACGACTACGGGAATATCGACTGCTTCGTCCCGAGTATGGTGCCCCAGGGTGCGTGTCACGTCCCCTGGCCGGGGACGGTGCGCATCTGTAAGAAGTTAGGGATCGATTATGCGGAGGCCGTCACGGGGTTTGAGTTCGGGTCGAAGATGGCGGTCCCCGTTATTCAGGGGGTGGTTGTCGCGGTGGAGAATGAGGAGCTCGTTAAGGATGCGTGGCGGGTGGAGGAGGCGGAGAAACGGAAGAAGGAGGCCCGCAAGGCGGAGGCCAGGATCTTGCAGACTTGGCGGAAGTTTCTGTTCGGGTTGAGGATTGCCCAGCGCGTGAGGGAGGAGTATGGGGGTGAGGATGAGGGGGAGGAGGGCGATCTGGAGAAGGAGGAGAGGAATCCGTTTACGAGGCAGGTGGCGGGGGCTGCTGCGGGGAGGGCGGATGAGGGGGGTTCTGGGGGTGTCCGGGGGATGCCGGGGTTTGAAGCTGGTGATGGTGGCGGGTTCTTACTTCCTGACGAGGACGAGGAGGCAGATCGCGGCGGAGGCTTCTTACTTCCTGGCGAGGACGAGGAGGCAGATCGCGGCGGAGGCTTCCTCCTCCCCGACCAAGAAGGCGAAGCCAATGACGAAGACGACAACGACGACAACGAAAAGCTGGTCATCGTCCATCAACGCCGCAAACGGGCTACCCCGCCTCCAGCTATTGCTGCTGATACTGATGATGACGATACACCCGCGACTGCTCCCAGCGATAGCGACGAGGAGATGACCGGGACCGGCGCCGGCGCCGGCTCCGGTAAATCCCAAGCAGACGCCATCTCGCTCAGCTCCTCCAGCTCCGACGAGGAACTGTCTCCTCCTCCGGACGAGATTCCCGACTCGGAAGACGAGGATGAGGAGTTCGTAGCCGAGTATAAACCGCCGCCGACACGCAGACGCACGCGTGGTGGGGGGAGAGGCAGGGGCGGGGGCAGAGGTAGAGGTAGAGCAAGAGGGAAATGATGGCCTGCCTGCTTGCTTGCTTGCTTGCTTGCTTGCTTGTTTGCTTGCTTGCTTACAGCCCAGGCGCTTTCGGTGTATGTTTTGATCAGTGGCGTTGTTGTATTAGAAACATTAATCAGATCATGTAGAATAATAGTGTATGGTGTATGGTGTACACTGGGAGGATGTGAAATGCGAAACATGTATTATATTATGATGTATGGGTCTGTTTTCTACTATATCTGTCATGGGTATAACTATCAACGTAAGCATGGCTCATATACGGTCTATCACGCATCGTCATCATAATCTTCGTCTGGAGACCAGCGGCGTCTGATCAAGGTATACTCTCTCGAACTCATCCACATCTATCTCGCCACCACCAGTGCCGTCCAAGTCGAAGTCCCCGATCGGGCTGATATGCACCGCCGGCGACGCGATGGGACTATGCGCGATGCGCGGCCGGGACTTGAACACACTGGCGTAGTCCGCTTCCTCGTTGAACAGTTCATCGCGCGGGGTGGAGGCCCGGCTGGGGGATGATTGTTTTTTGCGAGGCGTCTCGAATTGGTTGACAGGGAATGAGGGTCGAGGTCGATGTGATCGGAATCGTTCCCGAGGCTTGGTGTGTGTAGGTGGGGGGACTAGAGACATCGATTTGCGGGTTCGTTCAACAAGGGTAAATCTGTTGCTTGTGTTCGTGTCGGGCTCGGGGTCTTTCTCGTCTAAAGCGGAGCCATGATGGTCCTCTATCTGGGTTGGTGGAATGTTCTCTTTCTTGATTGTGGTAGGTTGAGCAGGTTGCTCTTGGTCGACAGGCGACGGTGTGTTGCTCTCTTCAGCCGGTGTGCTTTCCTCGGCCGGTGCGGAGGGAACAATGACAGGCAATTCGCGCAACTGTCTCGATTCGCTGACGTGCCGACGATGTGTGGATGGCCGACCATTGATGCGCGCGATGGCTTCTGTCATGGAGAACAGAAGGGCTCGGTCTTCGGCCTTCAAGGAGGCCCTTTCCACCGGCTCTCGGATGGCCCGGGAGATACTCGCGACGGTCAATGCTTTATGATCACGAAACACCACCGAAGGCTGTGATTTCTGGGAGCTCGTTGAGTCTACGCGATCATGTTTCCGTATATCAGCGCTGTATTGACGCCAGCGCTGCACGCGGGCGCGCTGACGAACGACTCGTGACTCCAGGTCGACCAGCAGATCCGGCCTAGTGTTCGCGGTCAGGTCGTCGACGCTCGACTCCTTTGCTTTTGCCCAGGCGGACTCGAAGGGGAGATCCAGGAAGCTATCACTGGTGCTCTGTGCGCCCGAATGAAGCAGTGTATCAACCCATTGCTCGCGGCCATGCCAATTGGCTTTGAGTTCGCCAGCCAACGCATCGAAGTCGACGTCATCACCAGATATCGGTGGCGGCTGCTCAGTCGAACGCTCAACCAGCTGTCGTTGTTTAAGGTCCAGCAGCTGAGAGAACCTCGCCTGTGCATCTCGCGCTTGATCGTAGTCGCTGCCGATATGGTTCAGGGAGGCCCGGTGTGCAATAATCAAAGGCAGCATCAGCCGATACTCCTGTAGGGTGAGGCCCTGCGCCATTGACAGATTGGCAGCCACATTCTGAAGTCTGGAGTCCGATGAAGCAGCCAGCGTTTTCCGTAAGACGGCTGTGGAGAATGAGGCAAGGAGCTCGTCGAATTTCTCGCCTCTACAATCGTCCAGCATTGACTTCCGAAGGATTATTTCCCTGCCCAGGTCACCTTGCTTCTTCAACTCGGATAGCACGCGGAACAAGGCGGCGCGCAGATTGACGGACTGCAGCGGCTCGAGCGGAGGGAAGAAGGGGCGGAGTTTCTAGGCCATTGATCAGTCGGGGATGTATGTTATGTCACAGGAGAGCGACGACGTACATCGCGCGCGGTGTCGGGATCCCAGATGGTGACCAGCTGGTAGAGCGCCCATTCGACGAGCTTGAGGCGCTGGCGCTGGTTCTGCGAGGTATCGGCCAGCGATCGGAGGGTGATGTTGGGCCAGTCACGGTGCGTATCCAGCTGGAGCAGCCGGAGGTTGCGGACAAACACGACGAGGGGCGGCGGGGGGGACCAGTTCGGGGTTCTGGGACGGGGCGTTCGGGCTTGCATGATGAATTACATCTGGAGATCTTAATTTCTGACAGTGAGAGAGTCAGAAGACAAACAACGTACCAGGGTGCACGGTAGATGGAAAAGAAAGTCACTCGAATAACGGAGGAGGAAGAGCCAACCCGGGAATATGAGGCGTCAACTAAAGTCAACAAAGAGCCCAAACGAGCAAATGGGTAGGTCTTGGCAGTGACCCCACGATGAGACCTGTCCAGCTGATCAGGATGGGCTCCAATTGCTGCTGCCACAACGGGGAGGGCTCCGTAGGGATTGAATTGGAAGCATATTGATGCTGAATAAAAGGCAACTCAGCTCAGCTCAGCTTATTGTCTCCTCCTCCCCGATCGGTGGACCATCCGAAGCCAAACCCAATCAGGTAAACACCGCTTTTTCTCCCCGCGTTTGCGTTTCTCTTCCATTCTCGATCTTGCGATTTGCAATCCTTTCCTCTTCTTCCCCACTTCCTCTTCTTCATCCTCTTTCCTCCTGGGTCTAATCATATACCCTAGAACATTCACCTGGCCACATCCTCCCTCTCCAAGCAAAGCACTCATCCCCGCTCTCAAAATGGGTTCCGAGACCCCCACCAACGCCCTCTGGACCACCCAGTCCGGTAAGTTTCAGGCACAAAAAACCCACATCACGACGCTCAAAACAAAACAAACCCAACTAACTGAACCCCAAACAGTCCTCGCAACCCTCCCCCACCCGCCCGAAGAAAACGCCAGCACGCCGATCCCGTTCTTCCACCTCCTCGAGCGCCTGAAGACCACCAAGCGCGAAGGCTGGCGCCGGTTCGGCATCAACTCCGGCGAATCGATCTCGGACCACATGTACCGGATGTCGATCATGACGATGCTGGCACCCGCGACGCTGGCGCCGCGGCTTAACCTGGCGCACTGCATGAAGATGGCGCTGATCCACGACATGGCCGAGTCGCTGGTGGGGGACATCACGCCGGTGGACAAGGTCGACAAGACGGAGAAGGCGCGGCGCGAGGCGGACGTAATGGACTACATCGCCGGCACGCTGCTGGCGGGGGTGCCGGGCAACGGGCCCTCCACAGGGCAGGAGATTCTGGCCGTGTTCCACGAGTACGAGGCCAACGAGACGCTGGAGGCGCAGTTCGTGCACGACGTCGACAAGATGGAGCTGCTGCTGCAGATGGTCGAGTACGAGCGCGCCAGCGGCGTGGATCTGACGGAGTTCTGCCATGTGGCGGGCCGGATCCAGTTGCCCGAGGTGAAGGAGTGGGCGGCGACGGTGATGCAGGAGCGGGAGGCGTTTTGGGCTGGGAAGAAGGCTGCCACATCTACCAACGGGTCGTCGGCGGCATGAAGCGAAAATGATGGTGCAATGACATATTCTCCGGCGTTGTTGTTTTGGGAGGGGGGCGTTAGGAACCGCGATCACGATGGGAAAGCATGAACCATGAACCATGAAATTTCGGATAGAAATTCGTTACCGTTGAAGTTTATAGACTAGCATGAATGAAGAATCAATCATAGCCTCTACTACAGCAGTGCACATACTGCACTCTCTATACCACAGTATACTGTATATACAATCCCCCCTCCCCTTCCCCTCAGCAGAGGGGGAAAATCACTCATCCCCCTCCTTCTCCTTCTCCATCTCCTCCATCAAAAACCTAGCCTCAGTTTCCATCTCCTCCAAACTCCTAGGATGTCTATCCTCATTATCCACCTTAGGAAACTTCCTCCTCCTTTCACCATTCTCCCCTTTTCCCTCCCCCTCCCCCTCCCTTTCCTCCAATCTCCCCTCCAGAATCCGGTTCAAATCCCCCTCCTCGCCCTCCAACAACTCATAAACCGCATCCACGCCGCCCCTGGCCTCCAGATCCCGGGCTCGCCTTGGGATCACATGCGCATGCACATGGGGCACGCTCTGGCCGGCGTCCACGCCATCCTGGATGGCGATGTTGAGGCTCGAGGCGCCGTACACGCGCTCGACCATGCGGGCGACGCGGCGGACGGTCAGGAACAGATCCGAGGTCTCGGTGGGCGTGAGGTCGGCGACGCGGGGCACGACGCGGCGTGGCGAGATGAGGACGTGGCCCGGCAGGATGGGCTTGAGGTTGACGAGGGCGTAGGAGTAGCGCGTCAGGTGGAAAACCTGGGTGGTGACGGGGAAGGGGCCGAAGTAAATAGGGCTCGCTTTGAGGATTGCGGTGGACATCTTGGTTGCTATTGCTGCTGCAGCTGTTGCTGTTGCTGACGTTGGGGTTGGGGGGCGCATTGTTGGTTGTTGTGGTTGTGGTTGTGGTTGTGGTTGTGGTTGTGGTTGTGGTTGTGGTTGTGGTGCGGTGGAGGTGGAGGTGGGGGATGGGTTAGGTGGGGGATCGATTGGCATTTGGGTTTATGGTCTGTTTGATTTGAGAAAGTCTGGTAGGGAGAGGGTGGTAGGTATGTAGAGCTCGTAGATGTTGATGTTGATTGAAGAATCGCAGCGCAGGGTCAACGTAGGAACAACTCAGTGGAGACCGATCGTCATAGCTCTGACTAGTTTAAAAAAAACAGCTCCGTCGCCGGACTTAGCCGGAGTTTACACCACCTTCACCTATACTTCTACTCTACTCGCCGGACTCAACAAATACAACACCATTAGGGTATCATTAATTCTTGCTCGAGTTCGTATATTACATCGCTTTCCCATCTCCCTCGGATCCAAAATGACACAAATTACAAATCGTGGTATAGACACAAGGCATCACATAAAATCGGAAACAAGCGCGCTGCCGTACTTTACTCCTTCTGCGCCGGCTCAGCCTCCGTGGTCTCAGTAGATGACTCGTCAGCTGCTGTCGGTTCCTCTGTCGAGGGTTCCTCCATTGGAACTTCTTCCGCGCCATTCTTCGCCTCTGCTTCGTCCTCCTTCGGCTGCTCCTCCTCCGCAGCTTCCTCCGCAGCTTCCCCCGCAGCTTCAGCGTTCTTCTCGGCCTTGCTCTCGGGCTTGGGCTCGAGCTCAGTCTCGGACTCGGTTTGTGGTGCGGGCTCCGGTTCCTCCGCGTGTACCTCTGCAACAGTCACCTGCGATGCAGGGCTACCGGGTGACGTTTGCTCAGCAACCTGCTTGGGCTCATCAGTAGCCTGCGGTGCCGGTTGCGGCTTGCTCTGGCCACCGGCAGCAGCGGCAGCGGCGGCCACTGCAGCAGTAGCGGCGGCCACAGCCTGCTGCTTCGGCTGCTCATCATCCTCAGCACTCTCATTGATGGTCGTCACCCCGGAGCTGATCGACGAGCTACCCTTGTGGCGCCTCGTGGTGGCGCCCGTGCTGATCGACACGGGCTCCATACTGACAGGGAACGGCTCGTTCTCCTTCCGCAAGATCGTCACCCTCCGTCCATCCCCATGCTCCAACCCCGTCGTCGCCCCCGCCGCTGCCGCTACCGCCGGCTGCTGCTGCTGAACAGTATCCAACCCCTCCGCCTCGGCCGGCACCGTGTAATTATCCTCTGGAATCAGACTGTATATGTCGCAAACGGTCTTGAAGAAGATATAGAGTCCATCGTGACCCTCGACCTGCCAGAACACCTCCCGATGCTGGAACCACGCATGCGCGAAGATGCGGTACAGCCGGCGGAAGATGTTCGTCAGGTGCCGCATGCTCGCCTGGGCGCCGCCGCCGCCCTCCGCGCCCAGCGTCAGGCGACTGGGGAAGTATTTGGGCGAGGTGAGGATGTTGGTCGCCCAGTCGAGGGTGTGGCAGCAGTAGTCGATGGCGCAGCAGGCCTTGGGCGGATCGTGGACGGCGCAGAGATACTGCCACTCGGAGGCCCGCATTTCCGGGCAGGTCTGCGCGGAGCAAGGGGGGGAGTCGGCAAAAAAGGCGACGATGAGGTTGTTGACTTTCATCGTCAGGAAGCGGCAGAGTTCGTACAGCCAGAGCGAGCGGTCGACGCCCTCCGGGGGCTCCGCCAGCTGGATCGCAACATCGCGGCTGATGGGAATAATGGTATCGGAGCCCTCGGGTCGCGTGAAGTGGTTATACAGGGCCTTGAGGTGTTCCTGAAGTTGGAAGGGGGAGTCGAGCTAGGCAAAGGGAGGCTGGGGGTCAGCAGGAGGGAACATAAGCAGTCTCGCGACCAAGCCCAGGTTGCAAAACTCATTCCATACCTGTGAAAGAGGGATCAACGGCGGACCAAAGGCCATATCGATGGCTCTAGTGCCCGGGCGAATGCGGCGAGTTGAACCATCCTCGGCGGTTTGCGAAGCGCCCAGCAATTGCTCAGTCTCGGAGTCGAAGGACTCGCCGACCGAGGGTGATTTGGGCCCGATCTGCACCTCAGTGAACGGGGGCGGACTGGGTAAACGTGGGGAGCTGGCTTGCGAAACTCCCGCAGTAGCCATGACGGGTCAGAAAGAGAAAGGAGTGAATTTGGAAAAAGACTGGTCTGGGAATGAGAAGGAATGGAGTGGTTTAGAAAGTAAGCGAATGAGGGAGTAGTATTCCAGCCAGCTGGGGGGGGGGAGGAAAGAAGATTAGGTAGACGAGACGACAGCACTGCAAGGTCCGACGGGGGTCGATAAAACAAGCCGCTAAGACTTAGTAGATAAGATGCCGCGCGGGAAAGAAAGTTCCAGCCGCCGGTCGGTCATCACCGCCCATTAGACCGCCTTGTGCCCTAAGCCCTAGGGCCCTGCCTTATGGGGGAAAACGTCATTCCCGGAGCCATTCATCCCCGGCTTTTCTTCTACTACTACTGCTACTACTGCTACTACTACTACTACATATATACATACTTTATCTAAATCCATTTTTTATACCTCCGCAAAGACCAACACCTACAACAACACCTTTGACCCCACAACATGGACGAAGATGACACCCCTCCCCAGTTAGTGGATGTATCCCAGCTGCCAGAGTCCGCGCCATCGACGTCAGAGGACACCCCGGAGGCTCAAGCCCGCGTGCCTATCACGCTTGTGACTGGTATGATGCGCGCGCCGCAATCCGTTATGTACCTCTACTTTTCTAGAGTAGTAGGGACAAACGCAAAGATAGAGACCCGTAGATTCTGATTTCTGTGTCATCAAATCATCAAGGCTACCTCGGAGCCGGCAAAACCACCCTCCTGAACTACATCCTTACCGAGAAGCATGGCAAGAAGATCGCCGTGATCATGAATGGTCAGTTTTGTCTCTTAGTTCTTAGCTTTAGACACGCTCAGAAAATATATACTAAGCTCAAGTAGAATTCGGAGATTGTAAGTTTTAAGATCTTGCTCTTGGAAAGAAAGATCATGTGCTACATCACATCAGATCTGTTGCTTTGGGCATTGGCATTGACCTCTTCGGCTGATCCACCGCCCAAAAAAAAGCCACCGATATCGAAAAGCCCCTCACAGTCAATCAAGATGGTCAAGAGGTGACCGAATGGATGGAAGTGGGGAATGGCTGCATCTGTTGCTCAGTAAAGTGAGCATCCATCCCCATCCATCCCAGCCTTCCCTCCCACCCAAACCAAGATATTAACCCCCAAAAAGAGACTCAGGCGTAATGGCCATCGAATCCCTTATGGCCCGCCGAGGCACCTTCGACTACATCCTCCTGGAGACCACCGGCCTCGCCGACCCCGGCAACATCGCCCCGATCTTCTGGGTCGACGACAACCTAGGCAGCAGCATCTACCTCGACGGGATCGTCACCCTGGTCGACGCGAAGAACATTTTGCATCTACTAGACGAGCCGACCCCGGAGGAGACGGTGTCCAGCCACACCAGCACCAGTCAAAAACACGACCACCCCGCCAATTCCCCCATCCTCTCAATGGCGCACATGCAAATCTCCCACGCGGACGTGATCATCCTCAACAAAGCCGACCTGGTCACGAGCCAGGAACTCGCGCGCGTCCGCGACCGCATCGTTGCCATCAACAGCGCCGCCCGCATCCACGTCACGGACCACAGCCAGACGCCGCGGATCGAGGGCGTGGTGCTGGATCTGCACGCGTACGACCACCTCGACGATGGGGCGGTCGATTTCGCGCAGAAGGGGCACAGTCATATCGATCCGGTCAGTTTTCCTGCCCCCCTCTTCGTTTCTCCTTGAACTATTTGATCAAGGAGACTAAAGGAATGAACTGACTTATGCTTCTTGTTGTCGTTGAATGGTGAAGGCGATTTCCACCATCGCACTTACAACCCCCCGAATCACCCCGGCGCAAGTACCTCTCGTCGATGAGTGGTTGCGCTCGGTACTGTGGGACTCGAAGCTCCCGGGTGTCGCTGGGCGAGAAGCGCCAACCACCAAGATGGACTTTGATATTCATCGGTTGAAGGGCATCCTTGCGATCGAGGATGGAACGACCCGGATCATCCAGGCCGTGCGGGACGTGTTTGAGATCCGGGATGCCGAGCCTGCAGAGGACACCAAGACGCAGTGCAAGATTGTGCTGATCGGGCGGGGACTCGGGGCAGATGCGCTTCCATGGCAGCGCAATTTCGAGGAATATCTTAAGCGGGACCTGAAATAAGGGCAGAGATGATTAGGTCATAATGTGATGCCTGTGAGAGCAGCTTCGGATAACAGAGTTCGTGTCGAACGGGCACTGGCTAGACGCATTGGAGAAAGCTCAGGACTCAAGTCCAGAGGAACAGATGAGGGAACGATACCACGAAACCTAAGAAAGAACAACACCACTAAATTCATTTTCGAAATAATACAGTTGTTACTGGAAGGTTACGGACAACCACTATACATAAACGGCCTGAACTGGCGCAGAGAAAGTAAACCCAAAATCATAGTCAGCCGTCTGGTCGTTAGTCATGAAAAGAAATGGTAAGACGAAACACCAAACGCCACCCAAGATTCTGAAGCTGCTGGAAAGTTCTGTCGTATCTGGTAGAGAAGTATCCCATGATAAAAAGAGAAGCTGGGCGAATTCAAAGAGATCTCCACCGATCAAGCGGTATAAAAACCTTCAACAGATCAGGCTAGCCGAGAATAACGTGGCAACTCCATTGCGCCATGTGCCCGCTGAAAAGAAAAAAAAGAGCAAATATCGAAAGATTGCTTTCAATCAAGGTAAATGTACAGTGCAAAATCGCTAGGGGTATCGCGCACTGTTGGGTCTCACATCTGAGACCCACAAACATGACTGGAAACAACTCCTGTCTTTCCTGTGAAGGACTTTTCTAGATGCAATTCGCCGGTTACGTCTCATACACACGCCGATGTCTCTTCTTCGAGTGCTGGGTTGATCGGTAAATGAGAGTCACATAAGTAATTGGTGGGTTCGTGTAGGCTCTGGCGAGGGGCATATCCCAGGGCGGAACGAATGCTGATGGGGGAATATTGGTCAGTCTCAGCATCCAACTTCTTGGCCTCGCGGGAGCTGATCGCGGGGTTGATAGGTAGAATCGAATGCATGAGTGAAGAAACTGAACGCGACGATTCTTGTACGGACCAATCTGGGTCGTCCATGAGAGCATGTCCGAGATCTGCCAATGGGGCCGGATACAGATCAGTCGACTGCGTGGCAGCCGACGAGATCGGAGATTCCTGCAGCCTCCCGTTCTCAGACAAGGTGTTTACTGAATGAGGCTTCAGCGAGTAGGCCGAGTTACAATCAACCTCATCGAGTTCACGAAACAGGTGAGCCGTATTCAAAGGCACATCATCTGCATGGTCTATAGTGTACTTGCGATAGCATCCGTCAATTCCTGGATCGAGGCCCAAGTCGTTCTCATCGAGTCCTCGAAGAGTAGTACCATACGACTCTTGGCCGTTCTCGAAGGTCGGTGGGTTCAAAATTCCTGCTGCAGTTGAACCTGAATATGCATATCCACTTGACCTCCGATGCTCTAATGGTGCTGGGCTACTCTCAGCAGTCATGTTCTCGTGTAAAGAAGACTGCTCCCAATTTCTATGCTCGGCGTCCTGCTCGCTACCAGGAGAAGGGCCAAACCGGTCGCTTGCATTCTGCAAATTCGTGCGACCGTCAGAGATATAGCTGCCGCTATCCATCGGGGGACGCTGTTGAGAGAGAAATGTCGCTCGGACGTCGTACATCGGCAGAGTGCTATTGTGCAACGCTACACCAAGACCAGTGTGCGTGGGAGGCATGCGGGAAACAGTCGCGGCCATCGCTCCTCGCTCGCGTGGAAATAGTCCCAGTAGTTCTTTTGCTGATAGTCGATGCCGAGGAACGGAGCTCAGGCAGATCGAGACTAGCCTGCGGTAGTAGTCAGGCACATTCACATCTTCGCCTAGCATCAGAGGCCGTGGCTGACGCTCCGGCTCATCCTCCTCCATGGCCAAGGCCCATAGAGTCATTCCCAACTGGAAGATATCGGTCTTTACCCCAATATACATGGATATCCGCTGGTTACTCTCGATCTTGGCGGCGATCTCGGGGGGCTCCCACCCCACTGGGCAACCCCGGCGATTGATATCAATGATCTTGGCGTTGTCGTCAGCATCCACCACAATGTTTGACAGAGTGAAGTCCCCCTGCACGTAGCCAGCTTCATGAATCTCGCACAGTCCACGCACAATCTGTCGTGCCCAGCGCTCCCGGCGTTCCCAGGATATCGTACCCCGGTTCTCATATAAAAGGTCGACCAACGCACCCTTCTCGGCGAAACCAATTAGCAATCCTTTTACAGTCTCTTCGTCATCATCAACCACGACTCCCTCCACCTGGACGACATCTGGGATTCCCTGCAAGGCATGAAGGGCGTTGATCTCGTACAGAAATTCGTCTACCGTGTCGGGGCCAGGAATCTCCTTTTTGATGAATGTCCTGCCATCCAGCTGCACATTGTAAACGAATCCCGACAAATGTGACTCGAAATGCAATTGGTTTTCGCGAACTAGTCGTGCTTCTGGTAAGTGTCCAATACAAGAAACTGGCGGGTAGGGTATTATCTCGTTAACATCCTCGGTGACGTGCACATGCAGCCGACCGTCTCGAGTTTCCAATTTCAGGTTGGTAACTGTGTCATAGAATTGTATCTCTGGCAATGATTCGCGGAGAGATTCGTAGATACGTGCACACTTGTCGCGTTGGTAGCGTAGCTCTCGGAGGTCCTGCTCCAGGGAATCGAGCGGCGCACCGCGATAGTCGCAGGATATGGTGACTCTCCGCCAACGGTTAGGCGTCTCTGCATAAGTAACGAAAAACTTTTCTCTTTCAGAGCGATCCCGAAAGTGCATGCTCAAGTTCAGAATCCAACGCTTTTCCAGCTCCATCTCGAGAGTCTCGGTTGGTGGCTCCTCGGGAACATCGGTCATGTCAGGGTAGGGGTTCCATTCCGAGCGGATCTCGTTATCCTCATTCGTCTCGCTCGGGGGGTCAACCGTGGGCTCGTTCGGGTCTTCGCGCCACTGAACCTCGGGAGCGGACAATCTGGGGTCCAGGGTGGGCGGTGGGGATCGAGTAGTTCTCTGGGACTGAGAACTCAGGGGACGACGTCGGTCGGCGGACACTGTCCGACGGGGTTCAAGTTCAGTTGGGGACAGCCGGTCGCGTCGCTCGGAATTCTGTCGTTTGAATGTTGTTGCCCGAGGCAATCCCACACCAACCTTGCGGGACAACCGACGAGTGAGATTATCGTGGGGCCTGCTTGGACGAGGGGGGGAGGACTTTGCGTCATGGTTGTTGTTTTGGGAGTGGTTGTGGTGGTGATGAGAATGACTATTGTGGGCGGCCGGTGAATTGGGTTGTTTCGCAGTGGGGGACCCATTATTGTTGCCTGCGGGGGAAGATTGGGACGAAAGGTCTCGATCATCGCGGCCCAGCCATCGCCGTAGACCCAGGCGATGCCACATACTCTGCTTGGGACGTGGAGGGTCGGCCCTTTCTTCCAACAACAATCCCAACGAACTCATCATCGGACTACAGGAACTGTCTGCAATCGAGACAGCCATCCGGCACGGCACGGTCGCTCACCGGTCGTACAGAGAACAACTGAGACACCCGAGGGGTTGGGACCGTATTGTCCATAAGAATTGCCGACAGGATCTGTGACCGTTGTTCTCGACCACACTCTCAGATTATGCACGGGCAATGAGTCAACAAATTAGAGCGGATACGGAGAAGAGGAAAGGGAAAAAAATAATAACCGACGGTGGTTCGGTGGGTGGCAGGGCACAGAGGGTTAAGAAAAGAAACCAGGGGCCAAAAAGCAAAAGACCACCAGAATGTCACAGTGCGGTTGAAGGAAGAAAAAACACCAATGGACTGCAGGGAACCTGATTTATGGAACGGAATGGAGGAGTTATAGAAAAATTTTCCATGTAGCTATGAATCATATGAATGAATCAAATAAAGTACCGGTAGTAGAAATGACAGATAAATACGAAAAACGATCACCCTGGAGAAGTCGGTGTGAATTTGGGTTGCTGGCTAAGGTAGGCGCTGCTTTTGCCCAGTCCCACTGAGTGGTCACACAATGTCGTCGATGGTGGTAGTGATAATGATGAGGATGATGATGATGATGATGATGGTGGTGGTGGTGGTGGTGGTGATCGTAGGTGTTGGTTCCTGTCGTTGAGGTTTTGCTACTGAAAATCAAAGGCAGAGGAGGTGACAATGTGATCAGATACACCAAGTATGGAGAAACCCGGAACAAATGAAGACGAAGGGGAGGGGGAAAAAAGGATGACGAGGAAGGAGAAGCGACAGAGAAACGAAACAGCAAGACGGACTAGTCGGTTGTAGCCCGGCAGGCGCAGTCTAAGGCTGGTTGGGCTGAGATTTGCAACAAGAGATGAAAGGAAGAGAAGAGGAGAATAATGGGTTGAGTGGTTGAACTAGAGAAAGGAACAGAGAAATCAGTTGAAATCAATTGAGGCATGGATGACTGGAAGCGATATAATTAAATTGGATAGACGCCTGCAGGTGAAATGGAGAAGGACAGAAACAATTCCACCACCTATAAGAAATAGGAAGTGGAAGGGCGATAGAACATCACATAGAACGATTATCAGTTAGGTTAGTTGGTTACTACTGTGTTGCTTGCTATGAAGTCACTCTACTACCTATACCATACGTCCTCAGTAAATTAAACCAAACCAAACTAAACTAACAAACTAAACCGAACTCACTCAAATGCAACAAATCTGAGATCCAATGAGCAGCTTAAAATGCACGACGGCCTGACAGACCGTGCCTGCCTGACTGATAATTAGAAATTAACATCCACGGCAGCCTCAACCGAGAAGTAGAGAAGGGAGAAAGGAGCAAGGAGCAAGAAACCGACGATAGCCTCAATTCTTCATCCCATCGCACGGCACTTGAACTACTGCAGACGCACAGCCCAACTTCCTTCTCGAAGCCTGTCCCCGTTCGCTCGTTCCTCGCCCCGATTTCTCCGATCGTCCAAGATCAGAATATATCTATCTATATACTCTTCTTTACATCCATCCCGCCGGGCTTCTTTTGTCTGTTCCGGAACGGACTCAATCCTCCCCCTCCATCCCTCCCACCTCCACCCCCCCATATCCAACCATCACATTTCCGACTACAACGTTCAGGTTCAGGTTGACACCATCGGGACTAATCGCAATGACGAACGATGCGGACCATATCGCAATATCACCCACCACCTAGGATTTCCAAGGTACCCGAGCGTATCGCGCAGACCAGCTTGGAAACCAGCCACGCTGTACAAACAACCAGCCGCCCCGGGGTGGGGGGGGTGGGGGTGGGAGCGGGCATGCACCTGGCAGGGCAGAAGATAGAGCTTCTCTGTATGGCTCTGTACTGTACTCCGTACACCTGGATCCAATCGCCCGGCAAAGTTAAATGACGATGGTTCGTCTTTACACTTCAAATGGCCGGTTTCCCAACTTGAGTATACCTCGTCATCATCGTCACCTAAATACAGCCAGCAAACAAGAAACAGAAACAATAAAGAGAACCCCCCTTCAACACCACTGATCATGCTGCCTTCCCCATCAACCACTAACACTCAGGTTTGGTTTAGACTTTTGCTTGATAGAAAGTGAAGCTTCCACTCAGATAAGGAGAAACCCGAACTGCAAACCTCGTTCAATCGCCGGCCAGGATAATGCAGCCAATCACTCTTCTCCAGTTCAGGCTCCCGGGCAGTTCCATAACCTACTGGACCTCCCGCTTACATCCATTTACCTTAATGCTTCTGAAATGTATAGGTAAGTATAAACTGAATGACCATGGAGAAGTATGTAGGGATACGGTAGTAAAGCAAGTACCCTAGTAGTCCAGCGTCCAGCACTAACTATGCAGGTCACTCACTCACCTCCCACTTGCCCCTCCTTTACCTATCTACCTCCCCCTCTATACAAAGACAACACAGCCTACCCTCGCAGCACAGTAACCCTCTATAATAATCCATATACACCCCCCATCATCCAACTCACCACTCCACCCAGAACCCAGAAACGCCGAAGCCACCAAACGATCCGAGCCACGCTATGCCCCCTCCCCTCCTGCCTCACATCATCAAACCTCTCACCCCGTCCCGATAAGCCCCCTCCCCCCCTTCGAAGCGGAGAATCCCGGATCACCCAGCACTGCACCTCCAATGAAGGCAACTAAAATCCCTCCTACTCGCCTGCATATGTATGCTTCCCTGTTGCATAGAACGTTTTCCAGTGGTACAGAACAGACAGCACTTACGTGATGACCCCCTCGACCATGATTCGTTTTTTCTCCCGTTATCGAATTACTACCTAGTCCTAATGCTTTCATTCTCCATCAACTACCTGTACATAGAATACCTGGTAAGAGGCCATGTATCACCACGAGCAGCCAATTGCAATCACCAACCAAGTATAACCCTACAATTCATCTAGCCGCTGGACGTATACACTAACCCCCAGCACAGACAATACCACACTCACGCTCCTGAGAGAAAGAAGAAAGCAGCAGACGGTGTAGCCCCCTCCCCATGCCGTACAATGACTTCATCGGTGCAACACCAAGTGATCACTCCCTACCCAGGTACAGCACAGCACAGTCCAGCTAGCTAGCTAACTAAATACCAGGGAAGCTGGGGTAGGCCAGGCCCCCATGTGGTTAGGTTGGGTGGAATGCCAATTGATGGGATTGGAAACTGTACGTATTTCTGCCTACGTATGGGTCGTTGCGTTTTTCTTTTTTCTCTCTCTTTCTCTTTTTCTTTGGCGAAAGGGGCTTGAGGTCTCCTAGCTGAATGCTGTTAACAAACCGGAACGGGAAGGGGAGGGGGGTGTTGGAGGTGACTCTGCGGATGGGCTTGTACGTTGATTTCGGATAGCCGGGTTACTGATTGAGCTTGGGGTGGGTGGGTGTATGTGATACAGGTTGGGTGGTGAGAAGTGTCGACGAGCAGACGATTCAGGACTTTCTCTCTGTTCATAGGGGGGTTTTTACCGGGGGGTGCGGTTGACAGTCTTCAGTCCTAGTGTAGGCTCCAGTTGCTGGCAGCATAGATCCACTGCTCGATCCAGCCAGCAATGGGAGCTAACTAATTCAGATTCCTTGTGTGCTATTATCGTCTCGTTCTAGGCCTCGAATGACACGGTCTACAATCAGAGCTCGACGTTCGCGTTCTGTCGTGCATGATATGCTTTCATACTTCCTTGAGTACATGCAGAAGCTGTTTATTCGTTTTTATGACCAGTGCATAGCTAAAGTCATACCCGCCTGATGTCAATAAAGAACAAGTAGCAGGAATAGATCAGGACTGAGACGGCCCCATGAACCGACCCGATGAGATTCCATGAACGGAGCAGTAGTATTAACGAATAATGGAATTCACAAAGCAGAAATGAAAACCAATACTAATGGGGACTAGCAAGCAAAATGAATTTGACACGACTGCAGAGATGAAAACGCCCTAATGCAAGATATTTCAGTGATTCGTTCCATGCGTCTATCATACTTCATGACCCGTCCATCGATATATCAACTAGGAAAGGGGGCAGGGCGTCTTATTTCCAGGCGTTGAGTCCGGCCCAGGGGTCAGTCGATGAGCCTGATTGTCCCTGTGACTGTGACGACTGCGACTGAGCCTTGTGATGTTGACTTGCGCCGTATGGCCGGCTTTGAGCGTAGCCGCCAGGGCCGGATGGAAAGGGGCCGGAACTCGAAGGGTAGTTTGTCTGCTGAGGTCGAGGTGGCGGAGGTGGCGGGACGTAGCCCTGTGGTAAGAAAGCAGACGGTGCTGCAGGAGGAGTGGGCCCGCTGTAGCTGCTGAATGGGGTAGGGGTAGAGGAGTAGAATTGCTGGGCTGGAGGCGGCGAAGCGGCCGGTGGAACAGGATAGGCCATGGGATTATAACCCTCCGACAAAGGTGCTGCTGCTCCTTGCTGGTATGGTTGCCCGGGATGGTAAGGCATACCAGTGGCACCATGGGGCATGTACTGTCCATAGGGAGCTGGAGAATGGGACAAAGGAACACCATGCTGTTGCCCGGGAGGAAATGCTGGTGAGTTCTTCGGCGAGGCGAGAGATGGGTTGTAAGCAGGCGTCTGCACCGCTGGAGGCGGCGACTTAGCCTTGGACGGGAGTGGGGGGGCCATTGCCCCTGCTGAAGGCGGTGCAGGTGTGGTGGTCTTGGGCTCGGTCGACAGGCGTTCCATCAACTGCCGCAATTTCTCCCGCTCGCGATCTTCCTGCTCTGTGGCACTGTTCGATCGCTCGCGTTCGATCTGCCCAAGTAGCTGAGCTCCTTCAGATCGACGGTTGTTAATAAACGCTTCGACGTTTTTCTTTAGATTCTCCACCGTCTCGGCCATCTCAGTGTAGAAAGTCTGGGCTTGAACTGTTCCCGAAAGCAGACCATTGAAAGCGTCATACACTTTCTTGTATCGTGTCATGACCGTATTGCGTTGACGTGTGATGGCTTCGTACTTCGACTGCTCAGATCTCACTCGCTTATCTTGGAGCAGATCCCCGTAGATCTTGGTCAGCTCTTTCATGAGGGAGGCTTGTTTATGGTTGGCCTGAAGCAACCGATTCTGATGCGGACGGAATTTCTCCAGTTCGGCCTCAAAGAGCTGGCTCTCTTGCCCAGTGATCGATTTCTTGTTGAGAATCAGGACGTTAGATATGTCATCGTTGTGAACCTGCAAAGAATCCATTTTAGCTCCGGTGCACTGAATCAACTATCATGATGACTTACCTTCTCCTTCAAATCCTTCAGAACTTGGGATCGCTCCCTCTTGACTAGGTTCAGCTTCTTCAAGATGGCTTCGACCCGGGCGATCTGTTCCGACACAGAGGGGCTGCCTTCGTCGTAAACATCATCTAGCAGATTCCCCTCCGGCGTGGAGGCGTAGGGACTTCCTAGACCATTCTTTCCCTTGCCGTGTTTCGACCCAGCTTTGATCATGGCACGCTGGAAGAGGACGTCAGCTTCATCGGTTTCTCCTGCAGAACGCATTTCGTCGAAATCAGCCTCATACTGCCGTAGTGTAGACAGCAGCTGGGCGTCGCTTGCGCTAGCCTCGTTGATAGTGTCGCGGTATGTCCGAATGTCTCCACGAAGGGTAGTATTGAGCCTTGCACTCGGCTGCTGACTCCAATCGGCGCCGTATTTGGAGCGCATCTTCTCACACACGCTTTCTTCCAAGTCGAGCTTCTTAGAGCACTGGTCCAGTTGTCCAAGGATCTCCGATTTGCGGTCCTGCAAATCATCAAGCGCTTTGATGAATGGCTGATGACCAGCAAGTTCCTGGCACCATCTTCTGAACTCTTCATCGACCTCCATTTCTTGATCCATCCCGCCTTTGAGAATATTAAGGCTTCCGGGAAGTTTGAGATAATCCAGACTGGCAGCCATTTCCCCGTTGGCCATTTCGACCTTTTCGGTCTCGGCTCGGATAAGCTTGGCCTTTTCTTCGTCGTAGAGACTAGCTGTCTCGGTGACGGACATGGGAACTAATTTCTGGAAGATATCCGGGCCGATGATCCGTTGAATGTCCTGGCCCTGGTAGAGTTCGCTGACTGGAATTGCCTTTGCCGCTGGTAATTTGGCGACAGCAGACAGGCCTGCTTCGCTGGGAACGGGTTGGTGGTAGATGAAATCATTGTCCTTCTTGAATACCGCAAGCTTGGCCTGTACATTAGCTAGGTGAAACTTTACAACGTCAAGCAGATTTGTGCCTGATTCTGAGCTAAGGTTTGTGTTTGGCGAAACTGATGACGGGAATGACTTGGCCCATCCCATCGCTGCTGCCGAGTTCTTTTCCGCAAATTGCAGTCGAGCGATGGCCACACCATGAGACCCACTTTCACTGTCCGCGAGGGCTTGGTAGTACGATGCGACGGAGGCCATATGAGCCGCTTTGGTCTGAACAACGATTGACCACACTTTGTCAAAGATCCCCTTGCAAAACTCCTGGATTGCCTCGGCGGCCTGAGAGTAGAGGTAGGCCGACTGGCTGGCCAGTTTCGCCAGCAGCCCAGCCTTCTTGTTGTCCGCAATCTGTTTCTCCAAGAATACTTCCTGACTCTGCGCGAGAGTAATGTGAATCAAAGCCTTGACCGTCTCCCGGTTCAGATCGGTCGAGGGCGCATGGAGAAAATTCTCGTTGATATAGGTGAACATGCCAGCAGAGGCCTGGAAGGAATGATAGGCAGTCTTGAGACCTGCGTCCTCGGCGCGATTCTGGTTGGCCGCATGACAAGAGAGCACGGCAGAGATGTTGAAGATGATGGAGGCTTTTTCATAGGCGAGAGAGTACTGGGAAGTGGGTTTATGAGTGAAAGCGTCGTACCTGGTAAACATTGTGACGGTATTTTAGTAGATGCCCGACAGGGAATAGGGAATAGCAGAAGCCCAATCTCGCATTGCGTACCAGGTAAACGATATCTTAATATGGTTCTCATCCACTGGGAAGCGCAAGTCCAGCAGCTCCAGTTGACCATAGTAGCGATACAGTAAGTCGCGACCCGTCGCACTGTCTTTCCCCGCGCCCCTCATGTCCTGGCGCAAGCGGTTGAGAGTGGCACATTCTTGACTGTAGCGATCGGGATCTTCACCATAACTTTGACGAATGTAGTCCTTCAGGGGTCGAATCCAATCGATTTCGTTGGTCTGCTTCAGCGGACACGAGATCATGGGCGACTGAACCATCTTGCTCATGTGTAGGAGCGGGGAGCTCCCATTAAAGGCGGAGAAGAGACGGGGAGCGAAAGGCAAGGGGAGATAGGGCGAGAATAGACAAGAAGGTATCTGTCAATAATTGCGATGGGGGCGGCGGTGATGGGAGCGAAGAATGACAGACGGGAATGGGCGGGACTGTGGGGTAAATTCCAGTTGTTTGTTTTCGGAGAAGGAAACAGAGATGGTGGCTGGTAGGGATGTCAAGATTAGTTCGATTGGGATAGGATGGGATGGAATGCCAGGCAGCACACACGGGCAGTAAGACCGCCCGATGACGACGGCGGTGAAGCGGAGGAGGGGTGCTTCTACTACTTCAAGTAGCAGGCAGACAACAGCTTCAACAGTAGCAACACTCAAATCAATCAAGGTGTGATATTCATGTGAACTTGCAAGTGTGAAACAATTAGCAGTCACATCCACCGACTATCATTGATCATCATAGGGTGAAGAGTGAGTAAGAAGGGGGGACACCGGCAGAAGATTTAAGTTATTGTGGTAATGGCAGGATGGGGATGGATGGATTGGTCTCCAAGCTAACCGCCCGCCGTGATGAACAAGACAGGCACACCCACTTACTGGCACCCACCTGGTAGGCACTCACCCGGGCGGGATAACCTGACAAACCACACCCACCTATCCAATTCCGACTCCCAATTTGATCCCCTCAACTTCCCGTCTCCGCCCGCTGATTATTCGATGTATGTATGTTTGGAAGAGAGAGGTCTGATATGATTTTTCTAATCGTACATACATCAAGTTACATACACTTGAAGGATTGCTCTATCCACGCACTGATCAACAAGCATCCAAAAACAACAAAATATAGAAACTGGCATGGAAATCATCCCAACATGCAGAATAGCTCAAGAAACCCCCAGTGTCGCCGGCGCTATGATAATCGTCCGAAATAAATACAGGTAAGAATCGAAGAAGGGAGGTCGTCCGGGACCACGACCTTGTGGAAATATCAGTTATACATCACGTTCAGCTGGCGTTGCGCCTTTCAGTTCGAGCCCGACTTCTTATCACCATCGGACTTGTGGGCATCGCCATTGTCTTTCTTGCTGGCATCGGAGTGGTTCATAAGCTTTTGCCAAGCGGACTTGAGGAAGCCCGGGTGCTTGGAGTCGTCAGTCGAGGCGCCAGGGCTAGACGGGGCACTGGAAAACGGTCAGAGGAAAGTGAACGAAAAGGCAGTCAAATCCAATCAAGAATATGCTTACCCATCCTTATCCTTGGGGATATCCATGATACGCTTGGCGGTTGTATCGCCCATCTCGTCCGCAAGGACCTCAAGAATCGTTCGTTGATTACTGGTCAAGTACTTGGGCATGGCAACCTTAAATTCGACCTTCAAGTCACCCGTGGGGCTGAAGTTGCGGCTTCGACCACCCAACTTCTTCATGCCCATGCCGGACAACGTAATGCGGTCTCCGGTGCCAGTACCCGTACCAACCTTCACCTTGACCTCGCCATCCAGGGTAGGCACCTTCACTTCGCCACCCAGAAGAGCAGTGGTGAGAGGGATGGAAGCTGTGTAAAGAATGTCGGACCCAGCGCGGCTGAATCGGTGATCAGGAGCGACCCGAATGGACACATAGAGATCACCGCGTTGCGTACGGGAGCCCGCGGGAGCTGCAGTACCAGTGGGCGGGGCATCACCTTCCCCGGAGATTCTCAGACGCATGCCGTCCTCGACACCTCCCGGGATGTCCACCTGAACGGTCTTCTTGTCCCTAACCACTCCATTGCCCTTACAAGACCCACATTCAGATCCTCGGGGGACAGTCATGCCCAGTCCACCACAAGCGTCGCAAGTAGCTGCCACCTGGAAGCCACCCTGCATCATGTGTACTCGGGTGCCGGATCCGTTACATTGACGACACTGGGTACGTTTGGCACCCTTCTTCAATCCCTCTCCGCTGCAGGTGTCGCACTCTTTCAGAGGGGTAATCACAATGTCCTTCGAAGTGCCCTTCGCGGCCTCCATGAAGGAGATGCTGGTTTGAACCTCAATATCTTCACCGACAAGAACCTCCTGGAAGGGTCCCCGGCGGCCTCGACCAGATCGGCGAGCGCCACCAGTGAAAGCGCCAAAAAGATCTTCGAAGTTGATATCGGCTGAGAAGCCTCCACCAAAGCCTCCACCAAATCCATGAAAGCCTCCGGCGCCAGCAAACGGGTTGCCGCCACCGAATGGGTTGCCGCCGCTGGGGTCGAAACCGCCGTTCTGGTCAAAAGCAGCGGAACCGAAACGGTCGTAGTTTTCGCGCTTCTTGGGATCGGACAAAAGCTCGTATGCCGTTTGCGCCTCTGCGAACTTCTCTTTCGCGTCGGGTTCCTTGTTGGTATCCGGGTGATATTTCTTCGCCATTCCATAGTAAGCCTTCTTGATCTCCGACGCAGAAGCGCTTTTGTCGACTCCTAGGACTTTGTAAGGGTCGGAGACAGCCGCGAGCGAAGCAGTTGTATGGAAATTCTGCAAGCCAAAGGGGATTCATGTTAGTGCGCAGTCCAAACTTTCGCAAGAAGACTTGGCCGGTTAATGCCCGGACAACTTACCCTAGTTGAAGGAACTGCAGGTTGCTTCTTGCTGCGGGCACCATCGCGCAAGCGCTTGTTGCTTGAAGAAGCAGTAGAGGCATGATAGGTCCGGGCCGGGGTTGAGGACCGGATGGTGGAGGGACTCTGCTTGGAGTATTGCCGCGAGGTCCGCAGTAAACGAGCGGGGAGAGCCGCGGCTTTGGGTATAGCGGCAGATGTAGCACTCATTGTGGAAGACAGATAAGCATCAAACAAAACGCAACGATGGGAAACGGAGGGTAGGATAAGGAGAAATTTGAATTGGCGGAAGCTGGTTTGAGAGGAAGAAGAAGAACCACCGGGGACCTTTCTTGAAGCATCGACCGCCTCCTGATGGGGAAGACGTTTGGAAGCTTCGAGTCGTTCCGGCTCGAAAAAGTTTCCCGATCGGAACAACAAGGTTCCGAACAGCAGCGATGATGAAAGCTTGCGCTTGCTTCGGTAATCAATCACTCGACCGACCTTCGATCGCCCCCCCTCAATTTACATACTCACTCAGTACATCTAGCTACTTTTACCACCTTGCCTGATTTTCTCTCTTCTTTCCTCCCCCCTCTCCTAGCTCCAGCTTTATCTGTATCACTCGCTCTTCCGGTTGGCCTTCAGGCTACCGTACTTGATCCCATATCTTTCGCCTTTCCTTTCCCGCCTTATTCCGTCCGCGTCGTCCGCGTCGACACAGTAGCATGCTCCGCGGCCAGACAATCCCCTGGAGAGCCGCGCTCCACCAAACGCCGCGCCCTATAATCCTCCGCCCTCTGCTCTCTTCTTCCAGACACAATGCCAGTGCTCGTTCCATTCTGAGTGCCGCCCGAGTCGGCCGTACCCTTCCATCCTCTACTCGACCTTTCTCCTCGAGCTCAATCCGTCTGAAAGAGAAGCCCCCACAGAATGACGATAAGGAGGACACAACGCAAAAAGAGCAGAAGGATACCAAGGAGGAGAAGGACTCTGTACGGCGCTCAGATGCTCGACGAAAGGCGACCGATCCGTCCAGCAGGCAGGGATCGTCACTAGAACCCGGAGCTCCGACATCGGGGTCGTGGCGGCGGAAAGAGAAGGCGGCGGTGGACAAGGAGCAACGCAGCTTGGAAGAGGAGTCGAAAAAGAGCGGCAAATCGGCCGACGGCAAAGGAAGCTCTTCCGATGAACCCACCCCCATACCTGTCAGTGGTGGCTCCTCGGACTCCAAGCCTAGCGGCGCCAGTAACGGCGACAATGAGGATGGCGGCAAGAAGGGCAAGAAGGGCAGTAATGAGAAGGCCTTACAGAAACCAGTGGTCCCGGACATCTATCCTCAGGTCATGGCTATTCCCATCGCGAAGCGACCACTTTACCCGGGTTTCTACAAAGCTATCACGATCAAGGACCCCAACGTTGCCAGCGCCATCCAAGAGATGATGAAGCGTGGTCAACCCTACGTGGGCGCCTTCTTGTTCAAGGATGAGAATGCGGATGGAGATATAATCGAAAACCTCGAAGATGTCTATGACGTCGGTGTCTTCGCTCAGATTACCGCGGCCTATCCTCTCCGTGGCGACACGGGCGGTGTGACAGCCGTCCTTTACCCCCACCGTCGTATTAAGATCTCCTCCCTCATTCCACCCAACGATCCAGCGAAGGGCGGTACAGCGGAGGAGAAGGTTCAGGAAAAGCGTGGAGATGTTGTGGCCAGTTTTGAAGAGGGTAGTGCGGAAGTCGCCCCCAAGGACCACTACGAGCCAACTTCCTTCTTGCGAAAGTACCTTGTCAGCCTTGTCAATGTCGAGAATATGGCCGAGCAGGCCTACGACAAGAAAAGCGCTATCATTCGCGCTGTGACCAGCGAAATTGTCAACGTCTGTAAGGAAATCGCTAGCCTGAACCCATTGTTCCGTGATCAAATCTCTGCCTTTTACACCGACCAATTCCCCGGAAACCTCAGCGACGATCCCGCCAAGTTAGCCGATTTCGCTGCCGCCGTCTCTGCCGGTGAACTCAATGAAATGCAAGAGGTCCTGGAGCTAATGAACATCGAAGAAAGACTTCCCAAGGCTCTCATTGTCTTGAAGAAGGAGCTCATGAATGCTCAACTCCAGTCGAAGATTTCTAAGGATGTTGAGGCCAAGATTCAGAAGCGACAGCGTGAGTACTGGCTCATGGAGCAGATGAAGGGTATTAAGCGGGAGTTGGGTATCGAATCCGATGGTAAAGACAAGCTGGTTGAGAAGTTCAAGGATAAGGCGGAGAAGCTCGCAATGCCGGAGGCCATCAAGAAGGTGTTCGACGAGGAACTCAACAAGCTGGCTCACCTGGAACCGGCTGCATCCGAGTTTAATGTGACCCGGAACTATCTGGATTGGTTGACTCAGATTCCATGGGGTCAGAAGAGCGTGGAGAATTTCAGTATCAAGAATGCGATGACCGTCCTTGATGAAGATCACCACGGCCTCAAGGACGTCAAAGACCGCATTCTTGAGTTCATTGCCGTTGGAAAGCTCCGCGGAACTGTCGAGGGCAAGATCCTCTGTCTTGTGGGACCACCAGGTGTGGGTAAGACCAGCATTGGAAAGTCCATTGCACGTGCCTTGAACCGGCAGTACTACCGTTTCTCTGTTGGCGGCTTGACAGATGTTGCAGAGGTCAAGGGACACCGTAGGACTTACGTTGGCGCACTTCCTGGCCGGATTATTCAGGCCCTCAAGAAATGCCAGACCGAAAACCCTCTGATTTTGATCGATGAGATCGACAAGATCGGCCATGGTCACCAAGGTGACCCCTCTTCTGCTCTGCTCGAACTCCTCGATCCCGAGCAGAACTCGTCATTCCTGGATCACTACATGGATGTCCCAGTGGATTTGTCTAAGGTTCTTTTCGTCTGTACCGCAAACATCACCGACACCATTCCCCGGCCCCTCTTGGATCGCATGGAGTTGATTGAGCTATCCGGCTACGTTGCGGATGAGAAGATGGCTATCGCCCAACGCTACCTTGCACCCGCCGCGAAAGAATTGACGGGTCTGAAGGAGGTTGACGTTACATTGACCGAGGATGCGGTTGAGGAGCTTATCAAGTCATATTGCCGTGAAAGTGGTGTACGTAACTTGAAGAAGCAGATTGAGAAGGTGTACCGTAAGGCCGCCTTCAACATCGTCCGTGATCTTGGAGAGGATGTTCTCGCCGAAGAAAAAGCAATCACAGACGAGGGTAAGGCTGTGCAAGCGGAGGCGCAGAAGGAGGCCGAGTCAACCGATTCCGCAAACGCTTCTCTTGATTCGGAAAAGCCGACCACGGAAACACCCCGAGTCGCGTTGAAGGTCCCTGAACATGTTAGTGTCAGCATTGACAAGGACAGCTTGACTGACTACGTTGGCCCTCCCGTCTTCAGGGCCGACCGTCTGTATGAGACTTTCCCAGCTGGTGTCACCATGGGCCTTGCCTGGACCAGCATGGGCGGTGCCGCTCTATATGTCGAATCCATTCTTGAAAACGCTCTGTCGCCCGAGTCCCGACCTGGTATCGACATTACCGGTAACCTACAAAACGTCATGAAAGAGTCTAGCCACATCGCGTACTCGTTCGCCAAGTCTGTGATGGCGAAGCAGTTCCCTGAGAATCGATTTTTCGAGAAGGCCAAGTTGCACATGCACTGTCCTGAGGGTGCAGTGCCCAAGGACGGACCGTCTGCCGGTATCACAATGGCGACGTCTTTGCTGTCCCTAGCTTTGAACCACCCTCTGGACCCGACCATCGCCATGACCGGTGAACTCACGGTGACCGGTAAGGTCCTGCGCATCGGAGGACTACGGGAGAAGACGGTGGCCGCTCGCCGTGCGGGAGCTAAGAAGATCATCTTCCCTGCGGACAATATGTCCGACTGGTTGGAACTGCCCGAGGTAAGTTGACTCGCATTCTTCCGACTTAGCATCTACGCTAACTCTCCTGCAGAATATCAAGAAGGGTATTGAAGGCCATGCAGTTGGATGGTACTCAGAAGTCTTCGACATCTTGTTCGCCGATCTTGACAAGACCGCTGCCAACCATATCTGGCAGAAGGAGCTTGCGGCGAAGCCGAAGAAGAAGTCCCAGGCGGCAATCGAAGAGGATGAGTGAACGACCTGACTACTGCTGGTGCCGTAATGTGGCAAGCACTTCAGGATAATGTTCTACACTGTATTGATCACGTACAGGGCGTTTAATTAGGGACAGCATGGGCTTGGAGTCGGCTTCCTTCTATCTATTTGACGAACCGTTTCTTCTGAATTTAGCAATTGACATTTAGGTTGTGGGCAGAGTCTACAACCAGGGCGGGGGTCGTCGTCCCTTGGCCTGAGCTGAGCTCCGCATCGAGACGCGGGCTCATGGGGAACAAGCGGCGATGCTCAAACCCCCTCGAACAACACCACTCCGCTCCGAGAAAACAAGATGGGCATCGGTCCATTCGACTGGTATTAGACGTGTGTCGAAGTTCTGCAGACGAGCGGGCTTAGAGCTGGTGTGGCAGCACTTTTTCTGGTGTTGGTGCCAGACTTTAAACGGTCTGTGATCAGTCCTTGCATGTATGTATATACGAAGACTATGCCTGTATAACTTGGATAATAGAGGCTACTGCCTGTTCTACATTACTTTTTACTGTCACTTTTTATGTCGCTTCGGTGAATGCAAGCTTAATACCCAGCCACCCACCCAGTACCAGGTATCACTGGGGGGACGGTTCTTTCGCACTCAATTCACTGGGCCTGTATCCTCAAGGTGAAACATTCACCTAGTCACTTCTGACTGGGTTGCTGGGCTGTAAAATCCCCCTCCTCTCATCCTCGAATCTCTTCTTCATCCTTCCATCTCCCATCCTCCACCTTCTTCTCATCCTCCACCTTCTTCTCATCCTCCACTTCTCAACCAAACCCATCCATCCACAAAGCACCAATCCCAGCATCCAACAGCACCTTCACACTACCCCAATACACTTTCATCCGTCCGTGACAAGATGAAGCTCCACCCTCTCTGGCTGCTCACCCTCCTAGTCACCCTGGTGACCTCGACCGCCATCAAGGCAGGCTGCGACTGCGCCCTCGCCGCCAGCACCGACAGCAACAACGACCAGGTCTCCCGCGAATCCGTCCTCACCTATATGAAGTGCATGCACGGTTGCACTGAGCACGCGTCCATCAAGAAAGCCCTGGACGGGTATATCAGCCTCTACACTCGTGGTCAGTACAGTACCCTTGGCCGACAAGCACCGTATCCTCCATCAAGCAAATCTAACTCCTTCACCACGCTCTAGACAATGTCGTGACCGAGCCAGCCGCCTCCGCCCCTGACACCGACATCGATGCCTTCTCTCCTGACGCTGGTGTCGATATCGATGATGGTAATGATATCGACATCGCTTCCATCGAGGCGTACGCTCTCGACAGTGACGAGGACGAGGACATGGACCTTCTGGATGATGCTGATGCCGATACCTTCGACACCACCTCGATGGAAGAAGACAACATCATCCCCGACCCCGCGAACACCAACGCCACCAACACAACCACCCTTCTAGCAACCCGCATCGCGCCCCCCGCCGCAGACGGCGAAATGTCCACCCAGGACCGCAAATGCCACCGTCGCTGCCGCCGCACCAAGGATTGCTGTCACACCGACATCTGCTACTCCGGGGTGTGTCTGGGCCCTGGCAAGTCGCCTTAGCTTTCGGACAACTTCTGTGTCACCACTGACTGCCCAATCTCCCGCTGTTGAGTGCCCTCCCTACCTACCTACCTACCTACCTAGGTACCTTCGAGGTGGGTGCTAGTTCATGAGTACGTCTCCCCACCCTCTCATATCTACCATCGACACGGTATTGTACATACCCCAAGACACCCCGATGAATTAGACTAACATGAAACCCACTGAGCAGGGTATACAACCGCAAGGAGTGATCTGGGCTTGGCCAGGGGCATGTACACAAATCCGAACTTCAATTGTATCCACTCGTTCTGTGTTACCGTTTTGATACTTGATGAAATTTCTTTTGAACCACTCACAGCAGCGTGAGGTGATTTCTTGTCCTTCTGGTGAGAATCTCGGCTTTTGTCTGGGGGCAAAAAACCCATCACGTTGAGACATAGTTCTAATCTCTTTGCTTCTTTTTCTGGGAAAGTTTCTGGAAAATCTCTGACCTTGTTGATTTGGTGATTTCCAGGAATGACAGGAAGGCGTGGATGATTGGGCGTTCGCTTGTGAGGGCTTACCTTATTTGGGTGCTCTTCTCTCGAGGACTAGACTAGTTAGGAATTTGTTACCACGGATAGGCAATTTGAGCTCCTCTTGCTGCTGCTACTACTGCTTCTAGATGTATTCATTGAGTTGTAATTTGGTTGGTTTCTTTGGGGTTTGGTGGTGGGTGGTGGGGGGAGGGAGATCAGCTGTCTGATGTGCGGGGGGGTGTAAATGTTGATATACATGATACCCTGACCCGTAAGTAACAGCCCGAAAGCGTATCGATGACCCCTGTTATTAGACGGGGTGTTACCCTGAAAATATATCGACAATGTCTGTGTTTACTCATACATGTAAAAGATGGGGGGGTCTCCAAGCTTCATTAAGATTTATTATACATACAATAGAGGCGGATTTGAAAGCATAGGAGCAAAGCCGAAAGGAAAATTATAGCAAAGGAGCAATCAAACCGGTCTATCAAAGCGCCTGCGATAAAAATGGGATAGGAGTATTTCATACCCTTGGGGAAGCATGGTGGAGCCATAGCAATGTACCTGCGGGGGCGGAGCATAGCAGCAGTGAAATCAAGTCTGTTCGAGTCTTGTCCCAGTGTTCACCAAAGAATACCAGGTCACCGTGCTTGCAGGTAGACAACAAATATGCATGCGAGAAAACCGAGGTGGGTGTGGAGAGATTAAGTGTAGAGGATTGGAGAAGAGGGGATAAACGAAGAACACAGTGAAAAATGTCGCACTGATGGGTATCACGAGAGAGAACAACAGAAAACCGAGCCAGTATCTGTCCGTTTCCGACAAGAAGAAGAGAAGAATGTGTGCATCTCGGGCGGGAGGAGCGGAGGGGAGGGTGACCTGATGGCCCAAGTATGGCGAGACTACCCACCCAGTCACCTCAGGACATCCTGAATATCGACCCTGGAACACCAAATATAAACAAGATCATAGCGAGGCGAAAGCACCCAGACGAGCAGTATGTTGTATGCCGCAGGCATGACCGGCCGTTTCGAATCGCAGCGCACTATTTGCAGAATGAAGGGAAGAGTATGGCGCGAGAACCGGCATGCCGATCTAAGGTTGAAACCTCAGCCGGAAATGTCGCCCTCTTCCCTCTTCCCGGACTTTGTACAGAAACCGAGCAATGGCCTCCTGCTCTGCAAGCCCAGCACTATTGAAGTGTTTGCGGACCGACAAGGCGAGTTGGTTCTTGCTTACTCGGTCTTGACCGATGATGTGGTGCAAAGCGCTCTTCCCGTCAATTTCATTCGGCCCTTTCTTCTGGGTTTGGCGGTCTTTCTGTTTGGCACTGTCACCATTGGTGGCCGACTGAGGATTGCCTTGCAGGGCTTTTCTCGTGGCAGTCGTAGCGTTGGTGGAGGCGTTGGCGGTGCTGCTCGACGGTTGGGAGGTGCTGTTCGTCGTTTCATTTTGGCGTTGTAGATGAGCGCGCTGGGCGGCGATTGATGTCGGGGATCGAAGGCCGATGCCTCTGGAGAGGAGCAGGTGAGAGTATTCGCTGGGAAAGGCACTGGGGGATGAAAGTTTGTAGGCGTGTCGGTACGAGTGGAGGAGGCTAAGGGGCATCTCGTTCCAGGGAATCTGCACCGAAGAGCACAATGTCAGTCACTCTAGCCTCTGGAAAAGATGATCGAACTAGTGATTTTGATTGCTGTTATTAGCGACTGGCAAGGAGGAATTCGCAGGCCTACCTTTGGCACATCTGCAGCGTTTCCCCCAGCGGGGGCACTGGTTACATTGGCGAGGTTTCCTGAGACTTTGACTTCTCGGCTGGTGACAGATGTTACCAGAGATCCGTTCGCACCTTTCCGGGACTTGACACTCGTAGTCTTGTGTTCTCTGGTAGTACTGGAGCCTTCCGATCGAGAGTCGTCCTGGACGGCCGCCGTCCGTTGACGCGGGGGAGCCATGGGGCACGAGGACAGAAATTTGCGCAATGACTGACGCGAGTGATCAGAGATTGAGATACGTGGTATCCCTGAGAGCAAGCGGAGGACGATCTATCATTCGAGCACTAGCGTTGATTTGAATGAGCTGGGAACAGTAAAGAGGCTGCATTGTCCAAGAACTTGTCTGATTGAACTTTTGCTTCGGCCGGCGAAAGGGCGGCCAGACGCGGCAGAATACTTGGAGCGCGACATCATCGCGGCCGCATTGGGTAATATTGCCGAATATCCTGACGTGAGGAGATCAGTTTGGAATGTGCAGCGCAGCGTCCTCTATGTGTATTGGCAGCCAGGCCTTCCAAAGCACCGGACTCTGTAAGGGTGTCATGAGAGTAATCTTTCAAGGGTCAAGGTCTCTGATTATCCTGTTGCAGTGCCAGCTGCAGACTAATATAGTTGTTGGCCGATAGCGGCGCTGAGCCCGGTTGCTGGAATGAGAGTTTCAGCAAGCTTTGCACAGCGCAAACCCAAATACGAACAGTCGGAGCATCCTATCGGTCTCTGAAGGCCATATCAAACCTCGATTAACAAGACAGCAGCTACCTAAGCCAATCACATGACTACCACAGTAAGAGCCATGTTACATAATAAATTCTTCAGGCGCATGGTGCGACACGAGCACTACATCAATCGGGAGCTCACAGGCAATGTCTACGGCTAGACAAGAGGTAACATTGTTCCCGCATGTTGTTTGTCTAGTGTATTGGTCAGGTGTATACATGTGCACCTGCTCGGCTCAACCTCCGAGTATATATTCCGGTCCCCGGATCATCGAAACCATGCGCTCAGAATCAGGAACGACACACTCACCATCAATCAATCTATAAAACTATAGACCTAAACAATACCTACAAACCAACCCATGTGATAAAATTAGTTCTGCATAAACAGTCTATTCCTATCGCGCCCACCAACAACAATCCATACCACCCCCACCACATACCGCCTGCAACCCCTCGGCCCTCATCAACCCGTACGCGAACCCCTCCAACCGCTATTTACCATCCCCAGACCCATAGTACATAGTAAGAGATGCTAGCTCAAAGCCCATACCACCCAACTACAGCAAGTGCTAAGAGGCTAGTAAAAAGCCCGGACAAAAACTACTTTACGTCCCGTCCAAGAGGACCTCGATCATCCAATGCGGGGGAAACCGCACACACAGAGCGAATCTAGCAATCCCTACTACCTGCTCCATGTAAGGTAAACACTCTAATACTCCTTCTCCACACTCAAGCGGCAAGCGCAACACCTGACGATAGTTACTCCTGATAAGCAAAAAATCCACAACCTCGTAATAAAGGCCTCACAGGTCGTACTATGTGGGAAACCAAGAAACGATCCCCCCCTCCGGGACTCCCCCTCCTCCACATAATGATCATGTGAACCGGGGGCTTCGGCAACTTATCTCCATAGTTATGACAAATCCCCCACACGGAAAAATACCCCTCCACCCTCGCCCTCGCCAACTCGCGGCCTCGCCTAAAAGATCCGGCGGAACAAAAATCATCCGTCGAAATTCTTCTTTCTCTCTCCGCATGGAGTAATCTTTACCACCCCGGGGGTGGTGCAACCCCGGTCACGTGGAACGTCACAAAACCAAAAAGGCTTATCTCAGCTGTCAACCGGGGGAGCCAGGGGGGTGTTTGTCTTTTAATCTATGTGAGATTACTGTCTTTGATTGGTGGTATGGAGGAGAAAATGTGTATTTCCACCAATTGTGGGCTCAATCGACTCATCCGGGGTGTGAGCAAGAACAATCTATATTTCTGATAGGGGTGTACTCGATTATACGGGTCGGATGGGTAAAATCGCTAATGTGCAAGCCGAGCTTGAAGGTCGGGCACAGTCACTACGCATGTCACGGAAAGTAAACTCGCTTATAGACCCAAGAAGGGGAAAGAGTAAAGGCAGAAAGATGAGTCGGGGAGGGATGTGTTGTTTGTGCCTGGAAGATTAATCATCGGCAGGCAAGTAGGCGAGAACTTTTTTTTTCTAAACATACTCACCGCTACATGTTAGATGACAACGCAAATTCAGAAAAAATGAAACAAGTTGGTGCATGAAGTAGCAAACGTGAAATGATTATTGGGTTGTAGGAAGAGAAGAATTTTTCCCTTTTTCCCGTTCTAACTACTGTATGCCCCTCAACGAACCCCGGTTTTTGGAATTGGTCGACTACAACGTGACAGGCGAGCTCCTCAGTGTCAAACAAAAGTCTACCCAATGTAGTTCCTGTATTGGTAGACAAGCAGTCGCAGAGAAGAATTGGTCGAGATGGAGGAAATTGCCGAGGAGGAGGAGGGTTCATCTCATTTTCTTTGACCCTGACCGGGCCGCCAACACCAACACATCGCGACATGATAAGAATAGTTACATAATTTCCCGGAAGAGTAAGCCAGTCAAGCCACTGCACGCCTCGCCTGGGCACAGTGCACGGCAAAGGCAGCAAGGTTCAACCCACCGGGATACCTTCTGCCGGACAAAGAGCAGCCTGGAGGCCAACCGCCCAGTGAGAACGGCTCAGACCACCACGGGATTCGGGATAGATTCGGCAAAGCAAGAGAGAGAGACAGCGAGAGAGACTCGGGTCGGACATCCCGATGGCACAGAGAGAAAAAAAAATTGCCTCAGACCGAGAGCCTAGCCTAGCCTAGAGAAGGCGGCGGGGAGAGGGGGTGGGGGAAAAGTCAAACCATGGCCAACTGAACATGAAGAGAGGGAGAAGGGAGAAGGGAGACCGGGAGAGGAGGAGGGGGGAGGGGGGAAAGTCCCGGGGGGAGAAACAGCCCAACCAAGGCCAGAACAGGCCCTAACGACGATGGCTGCTTCACCGGAAAACCCCTTTGAGGACGCGAGCCCGCATGCTGTGCCGGCCTCAACTCATTCCTAAGGGACTGGAGAGTGAGAAAGAGGAGGGGAAAAGGGAAAAGTCGGGTTAGGTAAGAAAATTTCTTTCTCTCTTTTCTCCGCAATAGTTGCCCGCCCTGTTTGGACTCGCAAGCCCTCCCCCAGGAAAGAGGAAAAAGGGCCGTAGTTCTCCCGAAATCACCCGATACCTCACACACTCTCTTACACTACAACAACCCCCCAGTCTCTCTTCTTAGTACTCACACCGTCTCAACTTTGTGGTTGCAGAGATTTTCGTCTCCCGTCTTAAGTCTGAAATTTTTTTTTCTATGGCTTCGTGTTCCCCTCTCATCCCGAAAGGGGAGGCTTCTCGTAGAAGTTGTCTACCCTGGATCGTGTCCAGTGGATAGATTCGGGACTTAGGAGACGATGACACCAGATCTTAGGTTTTGATCCGCCGGGCTCTAAATTCATTAATAATATTTTTTCTTCTTTTCCTCATGCTAATTATTATTTCCTGTCAAATCAGAGCATGTGGAAGACAGTACCCCGGCCTCGGCCCGGTACTATGTACAGTCCAAACTAATCAGATGGTGTTGTGCGCCGGGGCCTGGAGGAGAAACCACACACACACCTGAAAGTCTCACTTACGGTACACATTGGAACCCACATTTCCCTCCCACATTCATTCATTCTCTCCCACATTATTATTACAGCCGTAGATGTGACCATAATAACGATGATGACAGTGATGATCCAATGATGAAGTCGACAACAGCATGTAACTACCGGGCAGGCAAAGCAAAATCAGCAGCAAGCTTACCAACCATTGACGTGGCGAGCTGAGCTTAAAGTGCGCAACAACCTGTTGAGTATACGACAGCAAAGTACAGTACAAGTCCTACAGTACAAGGCCCTAATCTGTAAAGTTGTACACCACTTACTACTGTACCTCCGCAGGTCAGTCAGACAATGTACGTACTGTACGAAACTCTCAAACCAGGAACGCGTCCTCCACAGTGTGAGTGTAGTCTACGTGGACTCCTGGGCAAAACCTTGAACGAGAGAACTATCTACCGACCAACGAGTCACAATGCCTCCAGACACGGGAGATTGTCATCTAGAAGGGCCGCGCACTAAAAAAAAGTAGGGGGACAGAAAAAGCCTAAAGGTACTGACCGGGTTTAGTTTAGCTGCAAATCATTCTTCTGATTCCATGACGTAGTCCCGGTCATCTTCCGCTTTTGTGCGTGTGGCTCGCCCACCTTTTCCCCCCTGCCTCTCTCTTCCATTCTCGGTCGGCTCGGCGTTGGTCCCTTTTTTTTTTCCATTTTTTTTTTCTCGACTGGTTTCGTATCGGGCGCGAGAGTGTACCGCCCAGCACCCCCCCCAACCCCCTCAACCCCCCCAAAATCAGCCCCAGCCCTTACAGTCAAGCATGTATTGTATGTTAATTACCGGTATGTGGAGGGCAACAAACTGGGGCATGGGAGGGGAGAGGACCTTGGGAACAACCCTCGATTGGGGGAAAAGGTTCGGTGAATCTTCGTGGTGTTCGTATGGGGTAAATTCCCCCCTTTGGAATGCTTTTTTTTTTTTTCGTGTGGTGTTTTCTTGGTAGTGAACTGTACCTGAATTATCTCATCTACAAAGACAAGGTGTTCTTGGTTGGGCTGCATGACAGCCCACTTAATTCCTTGTTGTATTACTTTTCCTGTGGTGACTTACTACTAGCTGCCTTGAATGATTACAGCTTTCTTGAGAAATCACTTCCACTGGGGTGGTTTGGAAGGGAACAAGCGCCGGGAGGGGCGGCGGCGGTGCTGCTGCTGCTGCTGCGGTGGTGGTGGTGTTGATGATCGGATTACACCTGCAGCTCAGCTTGAAGGGGTTGTTGTACTGTACTATATGCACTCTGAGTACGACGGCGTACACGGATCAAGGACGCCCACACCTTTCTCCGCCCCCCTCCCCCCCTTCTGCCCTTCTACCAGGTACTGCACTATTTTCCTGTATCGTAGATTGTACTGTACAATGAGCATAAGACAATATACTATGTCCAATTCTCAAACAGGGGGGAGAGGGGAGCGGGGGCCGGGGGCCGGGGGGCCGATTGGGATGTTTTTTTATGGTCCGATTCGCAATATCCCCGATACGCACCGCACCGCACCGGTAGAGTGTGCTTATGTACATAGTGACGTGACATAACACTAACAGTTGGGGATCTAGAGCGATCATCACTTACTTTTCAGACTCGACTAGACTAGACCGGGATTCCGGAGAGACAAATCGCAACAAGAAAACCTCATAGCTCCTTTGGAGCTATGACTAGGAGCGGAGGGAGGGGGAGGGGGAGGGGGAGGGGAAAGGGGTAAAAAGTAGGACGAAACGGGGCGGACAAGAGGAGCTTCTGCGAAATGAAAGAGGGGCACGCGCAAGCTCAACTAACGAGATAACTGTCTAGATAAGTCCGTAGCATGTGCACAT